TGGACCTTCACGCTGAACAATTACACAGAAGAAGATGAGATAGCTCTCCAAGAGCTCCCCGGCTGTACATACATGGTGTACGGTAGAGAATCAGGAGCGAATGGAACACCCCATCTGCAAGGCTTCGTAACCTTCAAAGTAATGAAAAGATTTTCAGCAATGAAGAAAATCAACGATCGAGCTCATTGGGAAGCAGCAAAATCCATTTCTAGAATCAATCGTGAATACTGTCTGAAAGGGTCCCAATCAAAAGCTGAATGGGATGAATTAAACACTTCAGGGCCCAACTACGGAGTAGATGCAGATTCGTTCGAAAAAGGGAAGTGCCCTAATCAAGGTCAACGTACGAAGTCGCGATTGGAAAAATCGATGAAGGCGCGAGCATTAAAGACGTTGCAAAGGAACACCCCACTACATACGTGCACAACTTCAGAGGATTAAATGCTTATCAACTCACAACCACGGAAGGGTATCATTCCGAAACCATCCGCGGTATCTGGATCTGGGGCCCATCTGGTGTAGGCAAATCTAGTAAAGTCTGGAGAGACTACGGCGATTCGTTGTATGACAAAGCACAGAACAAATGGTTCGATGGAAAACGCCCCCGCCCTCCTTCACCTTAAAGTTAGTCGTGTATTAACCTTAATCTACTCCTTTCGCGTTAATTCAGATTCAATCTTTTCACCCTCCTCATTCTCCCCTTTGTTCTTGAATTCTCTCTTGTCTATGGAATCCAGTAGGATCTTAATAATGAACTTAGGATCACCAGCAAATGGTTTCCGTAGAGGGTTCGCCCCATTGACCTGTAATCGACCCACAGTTGTTAAATCCCTATCCACGTGGATAAACCGACAAAGGCTCACCAGCTCACCAAAATAGGAAGGTTTACAGGAACTGTACTTTCCAAGCAAACCCTTAAGATAGGTCTGCTTACAAGGTGATTTAAGGTTCACATACCCCCTAAGTAATAGAGAGGACTTGTTTTCGTCCCGAGCAATGCAAGCAAACCCAGCCTTATTTTCGAACAGTTTTGTAAGGTATGCCAGTGAGTCCCCCTGCCACTTCTCCGCAATTTTTCTTCCCTTGGTGCAATTAAAGAACAACACGAACTGATAATGCTTTGTCGCCCCTTTTGTCTGGTAATCTAAACTCATTTAAGCGTCATAAAATTTATGACACACACATAAATTTAAGACACACACAAACATTATGACAGCCGTAAAATTCTACCTCCCTTCAGATGACGATTCGATGGTGCAAAACCTATGGTATGAAGGCACCATGTCCTATTTGATATTCGTCCGAAGAGTGTCTCACCGCGGTAACCCATACATCAACGGAGTCTTTATCCCAGACAACGATGCCACCACGATCCCATCTGATTTCGAATGCACCCCACTTTCCGATGCCACCCACGTGATAAATAAGCTAACAGAGGAACTCTCGATGGAAAATAACGGTACCGAATTTAAAAGCCGCGATTAAATTTAAAAAAGTCATAGTTTTAAAATCTGACAATGTGGATAATTAGTAGCTCACGCAGTAGTCTCTCTGACTATATTACATTCGTTAAGTTCCTTGAACGCGAGTTTATAACTGAAGGTTTCATTAGTTACAACATTCAAGGACCACTAAATGAACTCTACCTATGCTGCCTGGTCTCTGAAGATGAAGAGGTCAATGTCATGACCTGGTTTCCGAACTATAAAATAGAATACTTCGATGATAACAGTGTAACACTTGACCAACCCATCTCACTCGAAGCTTGTATGCTGATCAGCATGCCAAACTCTCATCTCATCCAAACCAAGAACCTCAAGAATACAAGATTCCAGTTATGTGATCGCCTAAGCTTGGGAGTTTCAAGCACCTCTGCAGTCTTAGAACGTTAATCCAGAAGCCAACGTTCCGAATAGTACGCTCGGAATAGTACACACTTCATGACGTTATCAAGTATCCGGAACTACAACCTTAAATAATCGAGACCTAAGTGCTGTATGACGTCAGATAAACCAAAGAGAGGTCAGCGTAGCGCCGTGAGGCCTAGGAGCAAGTGTGCAACCTTAAGCGAATAGGTTGTTACCATTATTACCTCTCTTTGCCAGTACTCTTTTACTATAGAAAAAGTGAACCGCAAGCCAGCCAACCGCGATCCAACCTTTTAGCCTACTCGTTTTTCTATAGATTTTTTTGAGTGGACCGCTTTTAAGTTTTAGTTCCCCCCTGTCGTCTATGAATCTCGAAGATTCAACTGTTCCAGCATGTTCCAATGCAGGATCGCACCTGGCAAGATGTTCCAACATGTTCCAATGCAGGATCGCACCAGACGAGATGTTCCAGTGACAACCCGGCGAGATGTTCCATTGACAACCTGGTGAAAAACACGACCGAAAATAGAACGCCAGGTTTTAAGAATTGCTAGGGGGTGTCAATTCCATGAAGTTCTTTAACGGTAGTTTCCAACCAAATTCCGGAAACGTTACAGAAGTTTGTCAACACTGTGGACTCACCAGGGATTGACGTCGATTCCACAACCCTGAACATTTTATACCCTTGAACACCTGCAAACTGGAGGAAAAGATCAGTAGTAAGCGAAGATCCGTACAAATTCGAGAAGATGGTTAGAAATAGTAGGAGAAGTCCATAATTATGGTGTATTTCCACAACGCTCCAAAGGGCCGGAAGGAGCTGGATGGAATGCCGGAATGATCCATTCGATTCATTCGATCTGTACGTGGTACGTGTACCCGTCATGATCTCGAGTACAGGTACTACTGTAGTGTGGTGGAGTACGGTACAGTACTGTATGGTGGTTGGGTAGGGTGATTTGTCCCTCACAAATTTTCACTTAGGCTAAGTGGTTGAATTTTCACTTAGGCTAAATGATTCAATTTGATTTACTTAGGCTAAGTGAGCCACTTAGCCTAAGTGATTCAGTCAGTCTTATTTGATTTAGTCAGTCACATTTGATTCACTCAGCCTAAGTATGACTTAACCTAAGTGATGCTCTCCGTGGCAGCTTCTCTCAGCTTATAATCTGTCAGATTTCATTTTTTCAAAGGCACTGGGAAAACTCTGCCTCTGAGACACGTCAATATAAAAACTGTTAAGGAATGATCCCTTTTGCTTGGGGGGGCTAATGAATTCCTTTGCCATTTGTTGACTTAGTTCCAATGCATTTGATCCAATAGCAGTGGAAAGAACTCGAACTTGATCTGGAGAGTATTTCTGGTTGTAACCAGCATGGTGTTTGCAACCACGTTGCAGCATTGCAACCTAGGAAGGTATCATCGATTATGCTGAGAAGACCAATAGACATTGAAATAGAAAGGACATTTCTAGTCGTCACCTTTGATGGGACGTGATGTTTGTGAATCGTTCCTTCATCAACTTTCTTTTCACGGACGAGGTTAACAATGCTGGATAGATCGTCAGAATCTAGTTGAGCAGCTTCTAGGCAATTATCTAATTTGCCGTAGACTTCCTCAGTTGCAAACAATTCTTGTTTACTAGTTAGTGAGATATCTTCATCACTTAGGTATGAGAAATCGGAACATGGTTCCGTTGAATCATGATCCTGGCCTAATCCTCAGACGGAGATCTCTCCATCTGAATGATTGAAGTCGAAGTCAGCAAGAGCCTTGTCGACTGCAGCCATTTTTTTGTCCATCATGTTGAGGGACCCGACAGAGGAGTCATCCTCGTTGTCAGAGTCGTCTGACTTGCGTTTGGCAACATGGTTGCATTCGCTTTTCTTCTTGCGATCCGCCTTGACCGCAGCGTTGGAGACTTTCTTCATAAGGATTGAAAGTTCCTTCTTGGTGTAGGACTTGGCATCGTCAGACTTGCGTTTCCAAGTCTTGTTCTTGTTGTACGCTGGCTTGCTATCGTTGTCAGACGAGGACTTGGCTTTGAGTTTCTTCAGAGTCATGCAATCAGCAGTATTGTGAGTGCTGGACTCGTGGTAATCACACCACTTTTCTTCGCTCTTGGAAGAATGGTCGTTGTTGCGAGTAGACTTGTACTTCTTGCTGTTGTTCTTCTTCGAAGGAGCTTGCTTGGCATCACTGCCTTTGTCAAAGTCTTCAGCGGATTCCATGCGCTCACAGAATCCAATGAGAGCTGTCATCTCGGCAGTGAAAGGATCGAAGTCGTGTTCGTCCATCTTGCGCATCCAGGAACGAGGAATGCCATGACAGATGATGTCGATGAATTCGTCCTAGTTCAACTGTTGATTGACACCGAAAGGTGGCAAACGTGGAAGCTCATCGGTATTCATCCGAGTGAGGTTGTTGATGTAGGCGCGAGTTGTCATCTCGCTAGGCTTACGCATCTTGCGACGCATGAAGCGTTTCTGTTTTTCGAGAGCCTTGTAAGGACATGCTGCTTCGATAACCGCGTTGATTCCAAAGGTGGTGTCAGCATCGCTTAGAGCGGGTTCCGCTGCACCGTCCCATGCGGAAGGCTACTTCGGTTTCTCCAGAAGTCACATCGCGTGGAGGAATTGCGTTCACAGCAATTTGTCGTAGGGCGTTATGACGCACGGCACGATGGCCTGCACACCCAGCTTCGTAGGCACTCTTCGCAGAGCTGGAAGTCATCTCCTTGAGAAGGCGATGTTTGTCGTCGGGACTAGCAAGGTTGAGTCCAACGAAGACCTTCTCCATATTCGTAGCCCACTTGATGGTCTGACGTGGAGTGTTGGAACCATTGATGATGGCTACCTTGAAGGTGTATTTGGCACTGTTTGCATCTGCAGGAACGGTGCGAAGTTTGTAGGTGGTTGCACGAGAATCGTCGATCTCGGTGTCTTCGTCATTGTCGACGAGAGGAAGAATGGGTTTGTCACGCAACTGTTTCTCGAAGTTGGTGAACGCATGCTTTCCTTGAGCAATCTTCATGGTGAAGGAATAGATTGAGGGTAGCTGAAAGCTATTGTGTTTGTTAACAAAATGCACTACGCTAAAAGCTAGTGTAAAGATCTTTCGAGTGTTTTGTGTTTGAGAGAATGAAAGTTATGAGAGAGATTAGAAAGCTATGAAAACTAATCAACGAGAGAGATCACTATCAAAGGATCGTAGATCTGGTCTCCCGCGGGAGACTATAAAGTGTGATAGAGTAGGTTGCGGTAGTAATCATACGTATCTCCACGATCCTAAAACGGAACGCGTGGAAGATTCGTCTAGCATGAATCTAGTAGCGTGGAAGTACTCCACACTGGCTAAATATCTAGAGCGATGTTTCATCATCAACCTAGTATGACTAGAGCGGTCATTGAGAACCCTGTCTCAATAACTATTCACGAGAGACTCAGTCATGAGTCGAACTCAAACCCTATCTAGGATCGAGTCGCGAATAAGGCTAAGAGCCGTGTATTGCACTTAGGCTAAGTGTTTTACTTAGCCTAAGTGGATTTTCGAGCACTTAGCCTAAGTGAAAATTTGTGAGGGACAAATCACGCTACCCTAGCTAGGCAAGGTGTACTGTGCCGAGCAACGGGATAACGGGATGCCGGAAGCAACGGCAGGTCACTTCAACGTGGCCAGGAAATGAATGCAAAAAGAAATATTGGAAAGCTTTTTGTGCAACTGTACCATGGTACACGTACCAGCTGGTACAGGGCACGGTACGTACGTATTTGAAAAAGTATGTACCAGTAACTCTACCGCAGCACTCTTGAAGTCTCATGAAGCCAGACGGAGAGACGAAGACGGAAAGTGCTCTGCTGTTGTATTACATGAGCATGCCTTCCAATTTAAAATTTCCAATACGGTACCAGGTACTATTAATAGCTACATGCACTGAGTAGCAAGCTTGCTGCTGCACTCGAATACATGGGGATGGTACATGTAGTAGAGCTGGCGTCTCTTTCTCTGGGTTTAAGGGTTTTACCATCTAGCACCGGATAGCTTACAGCCTGCTGTAGCCAACTCCATCCGATAGCCAAGCTAAACTAATACCGGTAGTCTAACTCCAGTACCAGTACTGGAAGAAATCTCCTTTACTGTTTTCTATGGGTGGAGGGTACCTGGTTCAATTCTGTCGTTCCATTCCAATACAAGTGGGCGATACAACTAAATTAATTGTCGGCGACTTTGGCTATTCAGGTGCGTGGTGTATGTACTGTAGCTGGAAGTATTGTGCTGAAGCCGGGAGGCAGAAGATGCTCCTCCCACAAGACCAAGCCAACATCAGCAAAGCTGCCTTAATTGCATCATTGATGCCATCGGCATTCTTCTTGCATCTCAAGCCGCCCTGAGTATCCCCAAACTTCTATCTACCCACTGGCTAGCTAGCTAGAATGATATTTCCTTCCAGCTTCAGTGCCTGAACAAACAAGATTAAGTTTTCCATGAGTGCCGGCAGAGATTGCTTACCACACTTGCTTGTGCAGTTGGCTATGGTGGCGGTGGGGAAATTAAAGGACCTTCTCCCAACCATCAATTTCACAAAATATTGCTTGAGCCGAGACGGGCACCGAAAGGCATAAAGCAGCAACATGCCAGCCACATCATCTCAGTGCGATGGAGCTCCAAACGACAGGTGCCTGTGATAAAAGGCCATAGATTGCGTCAAGCTTGTCATTTCCAATGCTGAGATCGCTGGATTGGTTAACGGCATCCAGCATTGAAGCTACCTCTCGGCCAGTCACTGATGATGCGTTTCGGAATCTGCACCTTCCATATTGGTTGAGGTTCATCAAGAAGCGAGCACGTTGTTCCTCCGCCCCAATGATCCCTTTGGAATCTCCCTGTTTTCCTAACGAGACGGTAGCTTGTTTTAGTGTTGTATTTGTTTCCAAAAGGCGGCACAGTGAAGGCCAAAACTCCTTGGTAAAGTAGGACAATTCATTCATAGCCTTCTTCACTCCGCCATAGTAAAGATGCAGTTCCACAAGTGAATCATTTTGTCGCAAACCATCCAAGAGTTGTTCAAGGAAGGCCCTAATAACCCTGCTCTTGAGCTCGAATTTCTCTTTTTGGTATGGTACTGTAAATTCGAGGAGAAGCAATCGCAGATTGTTTGTGTGTTCCAACAGCCTTCGAAACGCCGTCATGAGGGGAGTAGCATCCTCATCATCATCCAGATGTACCATGGTCATGGTCAATTCCTCCAGCTGGAAAAGAGAAGGAAGATTTTCCAGAACCGTGTCAAACGCATCAGGATCCCAATCAGGAACCAGGCAGTGGAACACCTTGAGTCGAGGCAGGATCTTGCACAAGGCGTGGGCACGTTTCAGAGACATGCGTGCATGTCGGTGGCTTGGTCGGGACAACGAAATCACTCCGTTGTTGCGAATGGTACTCGTTCCTCCCAATTCGAGTTTGGTAAAGTCCGTCGGCAATCTTTGAATGAGGACATTCATCACCTCCTCACTCGTATGCTCGTTTTGGAATGCTATTGACAAGGGAGTTGCTCGATGCATGCTTGTCTCTTCTTGAATGGCTCCGTCATGACTATGATCGAGCAACGCTTGAACTTCGGCAACCGAAGCACTGCGATGTGGATTTCGAAGAATCAAGTGGAGAGGTGATTCCTTATGCCAGTTTCGTTGTCGCGTTGCCCGAGGGCACTGTTGGACCAAAAAGGGTATCACGTCTTGGGCCACGCGGCCTTGTTCACAAGCCACGTGCAAAGGAAAGATGGTACAGCTTTGTCGCAGGGTCACTCGTTGTGAGAGTGCCGGCGGATACATGGCATAGACTTCCATTACGGACGGAAGGTCCGCACCCGATTCCAACAGGAACGAGAGAGGACAGTGGAGCCAGTGCTGGTGCCGTTGCTTGGCCAAACTTGGATGTTCTCGCAGAAGATGAAGGCAGCGTTGCGATGTGGCAGCGCTTCGTTCCACATTGGAAAAGAGTGCATCCAACTCTCGGCGTGCCTTCCATGTAGTTCCAATAGGGAACAATAGTCGGTCCATCTTCCATACCGGTATGCTATTAGAGCTCCAACAAACTTCTATTTCAGAAACAAGATCTTTTATCAGTACGTGGTACGACTGTACTTCATTCTATTGTCTGTTGTGACTTGTGTTTGTGTCGGGTTTGGGGTACCGGTACTAGTACTCAGTAGAGAATAGAGAAGGCGAATAACGCGATTTAATTGCCTTTGTCACCTAATGCTTCAGGCTTGCAATATTATTGCTATAATACCAGTACGGCAGTACATGTACGGCATGCCAACAAGCAAGAAGCCAACAACCCAACAAAGAGCAAAACTCCGCCCTCTACCAGAGTACATCTGTACATGTACATGGAAGACATGCTCGCTGCTGTAATGTATAGATACTCGACTCGATTCTGATGTCAGTATGCTAGCTAACTACACTAGCTTGATAGTCATGCAGACGCTGTGAAACAAGGGATGGAAAGGAAACCAGCAGTGGCCCACTCCACTCACCAATCATGAAGATGTCTACCTTACTAGTAGTGACCTTGGCACTGATCGGTGTGGCGTTGCTCTCGAATTATTGTGTCATTTTTTGGCGCTTTCTACCCAAATATAATACTCCCACTCTTTCAGTTGCTGCTGTAGAGGTATTTCACAATGACACTTCCTCCAAACCGGTTATTACTAGTAGTATGAAAGATCCAAATAATAATAATTGGTGTCAATCATCGCTAGACTACCTAAAGGGCACGTGGGTCTATGACGACAATAATAATTCCACGGATCTGGCTTACGCCTACTTGACGGATCAGGAAGAGTGGGCACCTCGTTGTAACGAGTTGCAAACTGCCTATCTCCAAAGTGGCAATCAGAGTCAGTTAGTGCCACAATTCTTGCGATACAAGTGGCAACCCAACTCTTGCAATTTGGACCATGTCTGGGACCGGGAGAAATTTTGTCGCACTCTGGACGGCAAGACGATTGGCATTTCGGGAGATTCCATGTCGCTCCAACTGGCCAATTCCATCATGGGCTTGTCATTGGGAACTGTCGAGCAAGAGCAATTCATCACCAAACGACCCTTGGTGGAAGGAGAAGAAGGCTCCTGGCAGCTACGAGTTCCACTCTGTCCACAACAGTTCCAACAACAACAAAAGTACTCTGTAAACCTAGTCTTTCATCGCTGGAACGCATACAAGGGACGGGAGCAAGACCGACAAGCTTTGGGAGAACTCCTACAGGAATCAGACTACCTCATTTTAAACTGGGGACTGCATCCCACGACACCGACAAATCCTCTGGCGACGGCCATGGACGATTTGGCGGAATTCCTCCATGCCAACTGGAAGCCACCGCAGAAGAAACCGGAACGACTCTTTTGGAGGTCTACCGTCGTGGCGCATGGCAAATGCAGTAAATATGATGCGCCCATCAAGCTCAAGAAATACGACTATCATTACATGAAACTAATGGGGTTCATTCATAAAGCCTACGATGGGCATATCATTTTGAAACACGATGACCAAATCGTAAAACCCAAGCTGTTGGCCAAGCTTCCCAACATGACCATTCTCCGAGTGGAACAAATGACAATGAGTCGGATTGATGGACATCGAGTGCAAGGTCGTAATGGGGTAGAAGACTGTCTTCACTACTGTGAACCTGGACCCGTCGATAGTTGGGCGCAGCTTTTCTACCATCACGTTGTCACTCTGAACATGTGACAAAGGCCAAGCAAGACGTGTGAATTGTGGTGGCTGTACACTTTGGGTTGATTCTTCTCATAACGGTAGTTGATTCGCTCAACTCAACAACAAAAATTGCTGTGCCACAGACACTGGGCGCAGGTACAAGAGAAAGTTTTTTGTGTCTGCTCCTTCGTTGGATGACCCTCCGAAACCAAAAATCCATGTCTACCAATAATCCCCTTCTTCCACTTGAGTTGTGTAGACCGTGCGAGAGGGATCTTCCGATGGCTCTCCTGTGCACGGTCGTGCCACGGAACTGGCGTTGTTGTCGTCCGCCGAAAACGACAAAGGAGGTGCCGGTGGCAACGAGGAGCTGTCATACTGTTCAATGGCTCCCTTTTGATATGGGTTCATGACCAGACTAGTGGTATCGGCACCCTCTTGTTGGGAATAAACATAGACTTGTTGCTGGTTCATCCATACCGTCACATCTTCTTCGGCGTCGTACAAGGGCATGCTAGCCAATTGGTTTTGGAGTCGTTCCAACTCGGGGATGTTTCTAGGTTGTGGTTTGGCAAAGGACACGGAGCGCTTGGGGCCCAGCAGCTCGAGTCCTCGAAACTGCAATTCGGGCACGGCACGGGAGTTGTCTCCTCGAAGACTCGCCACGGCCATGTTGGCACCGGAACACAGGGCTCCCGCTCCCTCGCCGACAAACAAGCAGGCTCGCCCTGTGGCTGGCCCACAAAGATCGTGGACAATGCCATCCACATTGTGAATTCGAAGTGTATAGCGGAGAACATTGGAATTGGGATGGTCGCCAATCCACAGAATGGAAGGATTCAGCGACTGAATTTCGTCTCGTAGGGCTTTTTGATCGTCACACACAGTGCGTTGTCCGTTTTCGATCTCCATAGAAGACAAGGTGACCAGTTGACAAATCTCCAGATCCAGCTCTTCTTCCAAGTCCTTCATCTGGTCCTTTAAGGATAACATTGAAGTGTCGTCGTTCTCATCGTCGTCACTACCAACCGTTATAAAGGCAACCCGTTTGCTGTTGTAGCCAGTTTGCTCAAAGAGTTCGTCAAACAAGGCAGAAAAATGAGGCCCACGCGCAGCTTGGTAGGAATCCAACAAACAGACATGGCGATTGTTCGCGTAGGATGGAGCTGATAGGCTCACCGCAGGAGCAAAGCAGTGATGGAGCAGTAAAAGAACCCAGATCAAAGCGGTCGGTACAGGTATCCTCATCGTTATCTCGGCAGGTGGCTTTTCTCGATTGTGTGGGTACGGTATGGCAGATGGCAGAAGACAATAAGCCAGCTAAAATTGCTTCAATTTTAGGATCCAAAAGATCCAAGCCTTGGTCTTGGCTTGGCGAAGAACTCGCGAAACGGTATCAGTACCAGTGCTGTACCGGTACTAGCTAGTAGTACGGTACCGAACAGTTGTTTGGGAGACTTGCCTCTTTTATAGGAATAAAGTACATAATTTACGCATCGTTAGAGAAACAATGAACACTTGCGGGGCGACAGGGTGGTACTCTCCGATTAGTGCATACATCGATAGTCTTTCAAGATCGTGTCCTATCATGTTGCTGGTCCTTGCGATTATCGCTCACAGTTTGCATCGGGTCAAAGGCTCTGAATATGTAAAAGCGAGTCAACTTCAATATATCACTTTCACTAGAAACATTAAAAGACTATCACGTTTTTATCACATCAAACGAGGAAGCATCATTGCGTTGGCAAACAAATCACTGGAATTTCAAAGCCAAAGATGCGACACCGCGGCGCATTGGAGCTGGCAGTCTCTGGGCCAACCTGGCAGTTCGCCCCTTGGTAAACTTCTTCACAAAGCCCCACATGCGTCCCATCCGTCCTCGCTTCTGAGGGGCTGCCATTGTGACCTCACTTTCACCCAACATCTGCCGAGCCACGGGAGCCCATTCTTTGGCCAAGCTCCATGGAATTCCAAAGCGGTTAGCAAAGCCCTTGATGAGCATGGATGACCGAGCTACCAGTACCAACTCCTGGGGGAAGGTCTTCAGTGCCTTGCTGGGTGATTTCTCACTCAATTCTCCCTTTTCGTAGCCTCCTGGCAAGTCACTGCTGCCATCAAAGAGCCAAATGCCCATGGCTGTGGCAGCAACATCTGGAGCAGTAGCCTTAAGCTCGATTCCCAACTCCAGTGTCAGGTCTCGCACCCGTTCATCATTGATACCAGTACTGCCTTCAAGCCCATCGTTGCGGCGATCATCCAGAGCAATCATCATCTTGTTCAGGGTATCACGGTATTCATTGGAGATCTCCTTGACCTGACCAAAGTCGATCAGTCCAATCCTTCCATCGTCAAGGATAAAGATATTCCCAGGGTGGGGGTCTGCATGGAAGTAGCCTGCTTCCAAGATGTTGCGGCCAAAGACGGTAGTGAGAGCATTGAGCAGTCTGGTTGCAAACAGCTTGGCCTCGGGGGAATCTGGCTTGATGCCCTTTTCCTTCATCTTTTCTGTAGCTCTTGTCAGAGGCGTTCCCTCCAAGTAGTCCATGACCAAGACTCGCTTGGTTACTAATCCTTCCACAGGAAGGGGCATCACTAACGGTATGTCTCGTGGTGATCCATCAGGACCAATGATAAGAGACTTGTAAATACGTTCCATTGACTCTGCTTCCAGCATGAAGTCAAACTCATTCTCCAACTGCTTTTCCAGCTCACTAAAGATCGTGTAGTAGTCCAGAGGAAGGTTGGGGTTGTTGCGAAAAGCCTTGGAAATCGCAAGCAAATTCTTGATGTCTCCCATAAGCTTGGCTTCAATAGAGGGGCGCTGGATTTTGACAGCTACCTCCTTTCCACCATATGCTTCCGTCAAGACGGCGCGGTGGACTTGTGCCACACTGGCAGATCCGAGTGGTATTTCATCAAATTCGCTAAATACGTCCTCAAAGGTTTGGCCATCAGTTAGCAACTCCTTCTCGACAACGGCTCTGGCCAAGGAGGTTGGCATGGGATCGACATTTTCTTGAAACGACATCAGGGCTTCTGTGTATTCTGAAGGGAACAAGTCAGCCCTAGCTCCCACAATTTGGGCTGCCTTGACGTAGAATCCTTTCAGGTCGTTGATTGTGTTTTTCATCTTAGTGGCACCATCGGCATGCTGATCATGCCATAGCCGCTCCATTTCGGACTCTTCCAATGCATGTCCTGTCAAGGTCTCCTTGAGTTTGATGCGGCTCATCAAGCCGTAGTAGTCGGCCACAATAGGGACTGATGTAGCCCAAAATTTGCCTGCACGCTTGAACCGATCCATGGGCCCCAGGGGAGAAGGAAATTCTGCGTTTTGATTGACATTCGAGGTCAATATACTGTTTGTTGGTGGACCAATTGTGGCCACAGCCTGCAGTGATAGGGTGCGATGCGCAAAAGAGGGAGGGCTCTGAGGTGAAAAGGCTTGTGCACCGGTTGTGCCCATGGCGGCCAACGCCAAATGATGGAATCTGATGTTCATGGTGGGTGAAGTTTTGAATTTGGTTGAGAATTGCTTTGATTTCTTTTTCTGAGAATACGTTGAAGACGTGTTGATAATGTTGTTGATGTTGTTGTTATGCTTTGATTGCTGTCAGTTCAATTTTGTGAGAGGAGAAATCTATCTTTCAAAGCGTTTTCAGTCTCGACCCAGCGGGAAGCACATCGAACAGAAGCTGAAACAGCGGCAAGAGCGGGATTGCTCTGGGTCGTGACCAGCTGACATCAGTCCTGTACAGGGGAATAAATCGGAGTGACGTCATTTCAACATTCCATGCTGTTTGTGAGACCCTTCAATCGCACTTCAAATTGCAGACTGTGCTTGCACCGTGCAGTGGCCAACCTTACGGATGGATAGCCCTCAACGATTGTAGGGCTGGCCATGTGAATTTTGTTTGGATGTTTGATTGTTTGTACATGATGTTTGTCTGTTTGTCTCTCTGTCCTAACCCTAATAAAGGTGGCCTGCCCAAAAGAGGAACAGATGACTGGCTAGCTAGAATTTTGTAAAGGTCAAGGCAGACTCCATCTCATTGAGGGCTCATGCCTTCGGCAGCCTGAATTTGGTTTCCAGCTCAAAAAGGCATTGGTGTTGTTGTGGACACTGCAAGGTCTTCCTGCTTTGCACCAGGAGAAGAAACAGGCATCCCTGGGGGGCTTGGCACAGCTATTCCTTTGGCCTTCAAAGAACTTTCAAAGAAAGCTGAACCTCTCTGACCCTTTGTCGAATGATGTATCCGCGGCACTGTCGCCAAAGAGGGGGGGGGGTGATGACCAGCTTTTTATCTAACTAAAATCTAAAATGGAATTGGTGTCATCAGCTTGTCATCTATATCTTGTCTATTTCTGGCTCAGCAAGACGTCTTAAAAAGCTTGGGATGGCAAAAAGTCTACGGAACTGAAGCAATTAAGAAAAGCAAAAGTTAAAATGTCAGCAAAGGCACCTTCCGACGAAGTGTAACCAGACAAACACCAGATGAGAAAGCCCGCTGGAAGAGGAGTTCTGGCTGAATAAGCTAAACTCGACTCGGTGTTGCTTTCCCTGCTGACAAGAAGGCCCTGCTTCATTCATAGCACCGTATGCACAGCACTCCTGAAGCATAGCCGGACTCTGTTTTGTGCAGGTGGCGCGCTCTAGCGCTTAGCTAGTAGCGAACAAGACAACAACTGCTTCAGCAAACATATTTCTTACCGTACGCCGTACCTATCAAGTGCGTTCTTCTGGAATGAGAAAACAACCCAGACGATTGAAAGACCTGGATCCTCAGAATGTGCATTACACAGTGAGACTGGTAGGTCTTCTCGACTAGCCAACCGAGCTACTAACAGGCTCCAGAGGATGCAAGAACGCTTGGAATTCTAGCTGCCTGCCTTCTGGATCTGCTGCAAAGAATTGATAGATGCGATACTTGGTGTTTTCTCGTGGAGGCCCGTCTGCTGTAGTGTCACGAAATATCTCGTACATGGCATCGACTTCTGCTTTGGTTGGGTATACGAAGGTGTACATGATGCCTTCCGTGGTAACAGGAGTTGTTGCGTCTGTTGGTAGCTGGTGAAATCCAATAAGCAGGTTGCCATGAGACAGAACTGTAATCTCTGGTTGTTCCAGCCACACTTTCATTCCAATCTTCTCTTGATAGAAGTTGACAATTCCAGGACGATCCTTTGTCTTTACAAAAAGTAGACCGCCACGCATTTGGCCAATTTCTTCCTGGTTGCAGTTGCTACTCATTATTGTTCTATCTCCTACTGGCCGCAAACCATCTCCTCTCCAACCAATAAAGCAAGAGCTTGGCGTAAAGCAGAACGCAGAAACAACAAGCAACGAGAGGATCAGCGATGAGATTAGAGGCTCCTGTTGCATGTTTCTTCTTTCTTCTTTATTCCGAGCGAGTACTAGCGCAGTCGTACCCGAGCTGGCGAAGATCCAAAATGGAATTATGGCAAAATTATTGTAATTGTAAAAAGATACGAAAGGTACCGTTTGCAAACCGGGACTCACTCCTCGTGATTATTTTCTACTAGCTAGCTTGTAGTATTTATTTACAATCGTGGTTGGTTGGTTTGTTAATCTCCACCGGTGCTGTGAGGGGTCGGGAAACACGAGATGCATACGACTGTACGTACAATCATGGTTTTCGAAGCTGTCTTCGAGAGCCTCCACAGCTTTTGCTTTGAGAGCTGGAAGCTGGAAGATAGAGCCTCTCTGGGTCGCATGGCTGAAGAATCAAGGAGCTGATCTCTTGAGGGGTTTTAGCGCGAAGAACAAGTTGTTATCGGTCCCGTGTTGGTGTTTGGGATTTAAAACAAAACTACGTTCTAGTAGACAACGTTCTAGAGCTACGGGTAGCCAGGGTTCGAGCGCTAAAGGTGCACATCGTGGTGCTTCCTGAGTGGATGAGGCCCTGCCTTCCGTGTCCAGAAGGCACTCCCTTTGAAACCCGATACCGAATTGGTTGGAATGCTTCACCAGTAGTCAACAATCAGCTTCCCACCCTAAAACATGAATAGCAGTCGTCTTTCCACTTCGCCGAGCTTGCATACATATTATCAGATTCTCCTCACAAGCAAGAAAGCCATCTCATCTCAGCCATCTCTACATTCTCTACAAGGAACTGGAGGACATGGCTGACCGCTCCCTTGGATTGGCGCTGGTCGGCTCATCAGACACCGATGACAAGATAGAACTAACTATCAAATAAAATTGGCTATCATAGGCACACACTCAGTCGTTACTAGATTACCGAATCAAATCATCATAGGTTCGTTCGTTTTAATGTTCGAGTGCACTTTGATGGCCTGCCCTCCTGCCCTTGCTTGAGGAGCTCCCCTTGGATCTTGGTTGGTGGTTATTGGATTTGGCTAGCCAGTAATTGGCTTTCCTGCCGTTGATTGCCCCAAAGCCTAATAAAGCCGAAGAAAGAGCACTCTGCCTCAAATATTATCAAAAAACAATCTATGTACTCGTATCTATCTTCGTATCTTCGTAGTACCGGTACCGGTTTAGTTTTAAACCGGTACACCTCTGCAACCACCATGATAGATGGGAGGAAGTTGAAAAGTGTAACAATGGGAAGAGTCGGAACAAGTCCGTTGATCCGGTCTTTCGAGCTCGATCGTGGGATCGTGGGGCTCTCTTCAATCTTCCTAAGATCAGGAACAGGAACAGGAACAGAAACAGGAACACAGGCAACAGAGGATGCCTGAGAAGAGATGGCGAGATGAGCTCGATAACGGCAATGGTGAGATGCTGTTGCGTGATGGTGGTGGAACTTGCAGTGCGAGCCAAAGGCACGAGCCTTATGCCAATGTCCGCAGTGACTACTCTGCCAACTAGTACCGGTACCCTAATTATTTCCCGAAACAGCTACTGTTCTACTGTCCAGTTGCCATGTTAAGAGATAGAGGCGATTCACTTTCGCTAAAGCAAGAAGGAGCTGAAAGTTACAGGAAGGTTTCCAAAGAGAAGCACAAATCAGAAGCCTTCCGATGCAGAAGACTCTGAGGTGCCAAGAGGACTATGAGGAACGTTTCTTTTGACAAGAGTGTCATGCAATGCGAACACTGGAACGTCTTGATGACTGGATGATATAATTAAGTTTACAAATGATTTATGATTTATGCATAGAGAGAGTTTCCCTGGGTCACTCGGAGGGTTCACGTACAACTTCAAGAGTACCGTATCTTCAAGCCTGTAGCTTCGCTTCGCATTGCGGCTCGTTGATGGTCAAGGTCGAGGTCAAGAGCTCACCCAATACCGAAACCGGAACATTACTTGTACCACGAGCCCCTCCTTCGGAGCTTCCAAGCTTTCCCATCAGCTCCAGAGCTGCTTCAGCCTGCAGCAGAGGAGAGCTCACAATTCAAACATCTTGAAAACCAAAACCGGATTCCCAAAACACTCAAACGCTCCACCAACAAAAAACTAAATCACAATCATGGACGCCCTTGCTTTCTTCGACGGTGAATGCTACTTTGGAATTGTTTCGGAAGTCTCTGAGAGTTGGGACAGGGTCAAGATGATCGAATCCTACGATGAGATGTTCGGAGCCACTCTGTTCAAGTGCATGTACGATATCGCACCCGATGCATGGACTCCTTTCGCATTCACGGCGGATGATGTGGAACAGAAGAACGAAAAGTTCATGGTTTTTGCCAAGCGCTTTGTGAGGATGCTTGACCTTGCTGTGCACATGCTTGGACCCGACATGGACATTGTTGCCGAGGAGATGATGGATCTTGGCCCCGCACACGCAAGATACGGAGTGACCGCTCGTCACTTTGAGCTCATGGGACAAGCTTTGGGGCACACACTGGAAAAGGTCCTCAGTTCCCGAGACTGCACTCCGTCCACCAAGCATTCCTGGGAGAAAATATTCAGCTTCATGTCTGCCTACATGTTGGAAGGCGCCAAGTCGGTGTAAACAACTCAAAAGCAAACGAGCATGGACGTACCATGCAATCTGTAGACATACCATGATAGCTCTTAGAAAATACATATTCATATTCCATCTCAACATAGACAAGTCTCTGTCAGTAGTTGCCCTTCCCGTCTCCATACCGTAGCATGTCATACTTGGCTGGCAGCAAACAGTTGCACTTGGGCGCTTGTACTTTCTCGCAGACCGCCTTCAACTGTCCAACTACCGGCAGGCGGTGTCCTGCGATCTTGAAACACGCGACTCGACTCGGCACCCAGAACTCTGGCATGAGGCTTGTCTCTGTCAACGCAGAGTTTTTTCTCGGTCTCGCTCTTTCCTGCATTTGATAAATTGATAGATCTTGAAACACAGTATTTGTTTTAGCACTCTCACTTGCTTTTTGCCGCATTTGATTAATCTTGATCACGCTCGGGTGGACAACCAGAACTCGCTCCAGCCCGGAGACATGCCTGTGTCAAACAGTATTTTGCACTCTCACCCTTAGCTGCATTTGATGGAGGCGACCAGAACCTCTTAGTCTAGCTACGCTGTACCGTAGAGATGGAATGGGGGGCCGTCTCTATCTGTGCGTCAATTATTTATCGTTCTAACTTTAGCTGCAGCCATTGCTAGATAGGCCTGATAAACACGATAGACATGCTATACCGCACAATAACTATCAGCCCATTGCGGCTATGTTTTGCCAAAAGAAGTGAATGTCCCAGGTCCAGAAGGGTCTTGGCAGTCATCAAACTGAAGCCTTTGGTTGGTGGGCTGGTCTTTTGCTGGCCACGCTGACATCCGTGTTAGGATATTTGGATCTAAAGACTTCGACTCGTCTCCACTCTTCTTAGGCACCGAAGCAACTAGTAGTAGTACTTGCTTGGATGGCCAGGTGCACCATGCCCAGAGACTAACCTGCTTCAAAGGGGTCGACAACATACCCAGTTCTGAGAGGCAAAGCGTTCGATTTCTCTTTCTGCAAGGATCCATTCAGTTCTGTTTGCAATCCAACACAGACAGTTCAACGTGCCGCTCGGTTGAGACACAGCACGAAGCAACCGATGATGAAAGAGTACTACTAGTCAGTAGCTATTCGCAAGCTTCTGGCTGGTCTCCAACCAAGTAGACTCAAACCCGATTGGACGAACCAACCGCCCCCCCCCCCTCGACGCATCAGAATCCGCATTCATGCAAACTGGAGGTTACAATATCTGCATGGTCTTGTGCTTGGTAGCGCATTGGCGCAAGGTGTGCCGCTTCGGACTTCAGTGAGATTGGGGTGGAAGCGCAGATCCACGTTGCTTGAAGAAAGTTCATTAATGCCACATTTGAAGTGTGACGACGAATCGAATCATGCTTGTACGGTTGATGGATCAAACAAATGTGACTTACGGACTTACGGACCGCTACCGTGCCACCGGTACTGGTAGCTGGCAGCTAGCTAGGTAGCGGTACATCGTCTTGCGAGGTACAGCAGACTACAGTACCGGTACCGCGATCATCGGCGGATTTACTTCTCTCACAAAATCGAAAAACAATTACTTACAACTACTACTATTACTATTACAATAACATCAACTCTTCACCCAGATGATAAGCAAAACTGTCATATCATGCCTCGTCGCAATCTCAGCTCTGTCTGGGGTGTCGGCATTTGACTACAGCATCAAAGATGCTGGAAAAATCGGCCTCACAGATGTCAACACCCAAATCGATGGCCTAAAGACGCTGTTTGTGGGTGCAGAAACATTTGTCACTGTATCCAACCTGGAGTGGGAGGAAAGCAACAATACTAACACAGGTTATGACAAGCTCTTTTGGGAGACTTCAGTTGGTGGCATCGTTCAGTCCAAAGGTTCCTTTGACCTTTCCACATTATCTAACCGTGAACTTCCAGACTCTTTAGATGTTGGAACAATTAAAGTGGAAAGCGCTGGTCGGCACAAGATTTCAGTAACTTTATCAGTTGATGACAGTGAAGAATCTACAAGTTCTGAGTATGAAGCATATCAAGCAGGTGCTGCAATTGTTCCTCTCATCATTGTCATGGTGTTGGCCTTTATGACACAAATGGTGGAAGTATCACTCTTCTCTGCTGTGTTTGTTGGTGCCTGCATGGTTGCTGGAAACCTTAGAGAGGGATTCAAATCAACCCTGGATGAGTACATTCTCAAAGCTTTGGCAAATGAAGATCATGCATATGTCTATTTGTTCACTTTGTTCCTCAGTGGAATGGTTGGGATGATGGAAAAGAGCGGAGGAATGTATGGATTTACCAAGAGCATTGCCAAGTATGCAAAGACAGCACGAGCTGGACAAGTTGCTACCTTTGCTATTGGTTGCTGTGTGTTCTTTGATGATTATGCCAATACGCTCTTGGCTGGGGAGACCATGAGGCCCTTGACAGACCTCCTTTTCATCTCACGTGAGAAGCTCTCATTTCTTGTTGATGCTACAGCAGCACCAATTGCCAGCATTTCTCCCATTTCTTCTTGGGTTGGGACAGAGATTGGTCTCATTGACAATGAAATTGAAAAGTTGATCAAGCTGTATGGTGAAGACAACCTTACAATTGAGACCTCTGCATTCGCCGTGTTCCTTGAGTCTATCAAATATCGATACTACCCAATCTTCATGCTCTTGCTTATGCCCATGCTCATCTATAGCCAGCGTGACCTGGGTCCCATGCTAATTGCAGAGAGAAAAACCCAAGTCTACCAACGAATTGATGGGGGTGATGGGAAAGGACCTTCAAGCAAAAATCAGGAAGGAGGAGCAAAGAAGGAGAATCAGCCTCGCCCTGATACACCACAAAAGCCCTGGAACATGGCCCTGCCTGTTGTCTTCCTTGTTGTCCTCATTTTCTACTTTTTGGTCAAGACTGGAGAGGACCCCACGGAAGAACGAAGCTTCATGGAGAAGATTGAAAACTCGAACTCATACTCTAGTTTGCTATGGGGAACCATGGCTGCCACCATGTTGACTTTCCTGCTGTATCAGATTCAATTCGTCCAAAAGGGTAAACTCGTCCTTCCTACTTGGCCCGTCATCAAGAGCATGTTTGGTCGGTCAAAGAAGCAAGATCAACTTTGTAAAGAGGGCCACGCCGAACTCACTGAGAACGAAGACCACTCCCACTCTGAATGTGCCGAAGATGCTGCCTTCATTCCTTCTTCCAAGGCTCGCACTCTTGTGTCCATTTTTGAATGCGTTGAAGCTTTCCTCTACGGAATGGCACGCATCTTCCCTGCCCTGATTGTCCTTACTTTGGCCTGGGCTTCTGGTGCCATCAGTAAGTTCTTTGTTCGAACTGGTCGTTGCCATTATATTATTTGTGTAATTCTTGTTGAGCTCACCTGCCTGTTGGTTGTTGCGTGCCTCTCAAAGTGTTGGCAGTCGGAGCTGACCGACTCTTTTCGCAGTGGATTACCCAAGGGATTTCACCTGAAGCAATGCCAACCGTTTCCTTTGTCATATCCATCTTTATGGCTTTGGCAACCGGGACATCATGGGGTACGATGAGCATTCTCTTTCCTCTTATCTGCGTCCCAACGTATCAAGTGTCAAACGGTGATGCCACAATCTTCTATGCTACGGTTGCTGGAATCCTCAGCGGCTCTGTAGCAGGTGACCATGTCAGTCCCATCTCGGACACCACGGTGCTCTCGGCCTTGGCTAGTGACTGCCAGTTGTTGGGTCATGTAACCACGCAAGCTCCGTATGCCATCATTGTGACTATTTTGAGCATCTTGTTTGGTACTCTGCCAATTGGGAATCATGCTATGCCCAACATTGTGGGGATATTGCTTGGCGCCGTTAGCATTGTCCTCATTGTCTACTTCCTTTGTGTTCCGGTGCTCAGCGAGACGGGTAGATTTGACATTTTCACCCAGTTGTGGATTCGATTGAAGCGAGACACCTCCTTGCAGCAGCTCCAAGAGGACACTGTCAAGCGCCACAATGGGTCCATGGAAACGATGGTCTCAAACAAGAGCGATGAAGCGAATGGCGATGAGGAGGATATTGTTGCTGTGAACTGTGAAGAAGTCAAGCATGTGCCTGGTCGCTTGTCGGAAGTCTCTGTCTGAATCACCATGGCAGGAAATACTTGAATACTATGTGTATGTGTATGAATCAATTGTGAGAAAGAGAAGAAAGAAATGGTAGCCAGTTATAATTGTTATAGATGTTTTTGAAACAGTACATGATAATGTTCATAGACGCAGTTTGCAGGTACAGTACAAAAGTTGTGTTGGTTTTCGCTGTCAGAGCCCCGCCCCTGTTGCTCAATGACAGCCAGGTAGTACGATTGTGTTTCGTTCGATCATTCATCGCCGTCTACTGACGATGACCTCGTATTCGTTTCACATATCGGTGCAGTAGTACAGTGTTCAGCGTTGTCCCACTAGCGTAAAGCAACCAGAAAAATCCGGGTGCCAAGTTGAGGATCCTTGCCGCCCCATTCCAAGGGGATTGGCCCGCATTGTCGTCGTCGTCGTCGTCGCTGGATGGTATGACCAGAATCGTCAAGTAAGTCAGTGCTGTCTCCACGACAGCACCGAGCACAAAGAAGCCATCGGCCACACCAAAGAATGTTCCGAACCTAAGGTACGTTGCCACCGCAGTTTCCCGTTGGGTCGAATTGGAATCGCTTGCGACGCGCTGCGACGTTGTCACGTTGTTATCCGATGCGTTCGGATCTCCCGAAGATTCTTCTTCCTTGGATGCAAGGCTGGGATTGTTATCATCACCACGAGGACATGATTCTTGTGCATCGTCCTTGATAGAGTAGCTTTCCTCAACAGAAAAGCTAACATCCCCAGAGTTTGCGTTGGACCTAACACTTTCCTCAGAGTTCTCAGACCCTTTTTCCTCGTCTCGGCCTGAGTCCAATATACCGGAAAGCTTTCCCGGTGATAAGAGGGCAAAATGGCCCTTTCGTTGTCGTGGAGATAGCAGCTGCGAAAGCCGCTGGGACGGCCTACGAGATGGCGTCTGGGCGTCATCTGCGGGGGTTTGAGTTTGAGTTTGGGCTGGTTGTGGCTGGGGCTGGGGTTGTCTTTCTTGTTGCTTCCGAAGTTCTGAGCGAAAAGGTTGAATCAGAGTCCAGTAATGATGGTGCAACAGCATCAGGGCTTGACCAGTCATGGCATGCACAAAGAAGAAATAGGAAATGTCAGACAAGATTGTCTTGGACTCCCAGAACATGCCGCTGACCAAACCAAACAACCCAGCTGCTATTTGGAAGAAGTGAAACTTCTCCAGTGGGGTTCTCACCAGGTTGATGATCCCAACCTGCAAGAAGCAGAATGTACTTCCCATCAGCAGCATCATTTGTTGTGTGACATAGGTATCGAGGCTGGAGAGTTTCAAGTGAAAACCCCTTGAATCAGAGGAGTCTCTTAGAGATTCGCTACTAGAGAGAAAAGCTCGTGATCGCGCGTTGTTGCTGTGCTCAAAGAACTCTAGCCATGATGCCCAGAAGAACAGAACACTCCCAATGATGAAGAATGCACCGGAGAGAATTACGAGGTTGTAGTGCCGAAGTGGGTTCGCGGATGTTGGAGATTGCACAGTTCTGTTCTCCCGCGAGTTGTCTTGGTGGTAGCTTGATTGATGTTGAGCATTTTGCGCTTGTCGTCTGCTGCTATCGGTGGGACTGGGGGGTTGACTTGTGCTGGTGGTCTTTGCTGTTTGCTTTTGTTGTTGTCTTTTCTCCTCGTACACGTCAGATGGCAACGACATAAAGTTCGACTGATCATCGTAGCTGCTTACAAAGTCGACAATGCTAAGGTCAATGTGCCCTCCTCTCCGTGGCGTTTCCACCGTAGAGCTGTCGCTGTCCATGTTCGTAGCTTGTTCCGAAACCTAGCTAGCTACTAGCTATTGGTTGGTTTTTCTGCGTTGTTGGTGGGACTCCCGTTTGGCACCACATGAACATGTATGTCGCGCTAGATGCAAAGCCCTCGTCCTCTCACTGCCTCGCCTCGATTGTAACCTCCCTTCTACGGATCCACAACGGCCCAGTTACTTGTCGATCGGGTGCTACTCCATCGAATAATTTGTGATGTCAACCCCCAAGAAGCGCGTTGAAATGCGTTCCAGGTCCAACAAGGCCGACGATTTAGCGAAGACTTCGCCCGCTCGACCTCCAAGCAGCACGATACCGTAAGGACGCTTCACTCGACTGAGTCGGCTGGGTCGACTCGACTCATCAGTCACAGTTGTGAATTTCGAAGGGGGTTTCTAAAGAGTACCGGTAGGTACCTGGTAGGTTCTTTACCAAAGCCAGCGAGGGCCAAGCTTTTAGCAAAGAAGAGCCGAAATTCGAAGAGTAAGGGGGGTATCGTACCACTGTATGGCCGTTTTCTATCTAAGCCCGGGAGGGGCCAGGCTTAGGCAATCAAGAGGCCGCCGCAATACATGTACAAGTGCCAAAGGGTTTGGCTTTTGGGGGGGGGGGTCTGCAGGAGACATAAATGAGTGACTTTGACTAGTAGGGCAATTGAGAGTGGGGTCTGATTGAATGACATATAAGAGCATAGCTAGACTACTATGATCCACAGGAGTGGAGAGTCCAAAGATACTGGACTCCGAGTCTACGAAGTACTGCATTTCTACTACTGGTAACGTCTCCAGTCTCCAGCAGGTCAGCACTCGTCAACAACTCAGCAATCAGCATGGACAGTGCTACCGTACCGTACATGTATGTCTTTTGGGGCTGAAAACACAATATCCACAGAATGGCTTGGTGGCAGAAATCCGCAATACATCACGTGAACTGATCATTAGAGGGTCCAGGCTTGTAATGTTGATGGTTGTGGCCGGTCAGCATTTCTGGCCCTTTTTCAAAAGTACTGTATGTCTCCAAAAAGCACAAGGTCTGGTGCATGGCGCGGCATGAAGTCTTCATTGTCTAGTCTTGAGAGATATAGTGCTTCAAATGCAGCATTCACCATCCCCTCATACCAAAAACAAAAAAGTCAGACGTTAGCAGCAGCTACACTACCTTGGTCCCAAGTGTTTGCTACCGTACCTTTCATGCTATTGATTATCTGCCATGTTGTCATGGCACACACAGTTCAAATTATCAGGCACACAAGATGGACAAGACATCTTGGAGCAATCTATTTTTCAATCTGTCCGAGAGTAATGCTATTGTGTTGCAATCCACGGAACGAACAAAGATCAGCTGGCAAGGTGCCCGTCAAGGAAGTATTGAAGAAAGTCGAGTCAAGTACGTCAAATTCCGCATTGATGCCACAACAGGAGGAGGAATTGTACCAGTGAGGGATGGGTTGTCCTGAAGATACAGCTCTTGCATGGCTGTCAAAAGCCCTAGCTCGGAAGGTAAGCTGCCTGTTGTCATGGACGTGCGGTCAAGCTGAAGGATTTCCAAATCAGAAAAGGATGCCAAGCATGAAGGCGGCACTGTTCCCGTGAAGTTTGGATTGTCAAAAAGGCGGAGCGTTCTCAAGGAGGTCAAGAGACACAGTTCCGAAGGTATGCTAGCTGTCAAAGATGTGTTTAGAATTTCCAAATATTTCAAATTGGACGCTGATCTCAAGAACCAAGGAGAAACTGTTCCAGTCAGGCGAGGATTGCCAAAGAGCTCAAAGCTGACCAAGGACGTCATGTTCCCCAATGTAGGAAGGGCCCCAGTAAATTGATTGCCGCCCAAGTAGAGGGATTCCATTGCTGTCATCTTCTGTAGCTCTTGCGGAATGGTACCGGTCAAATCATTCATCGATAAGGATAAATGTGTCAGAGCTGTCATCAAACCCATCTCCGAATACAGTGGCCCGCGAAATCGATTGCTAAAGAGAGTAAGCTCATCCAACTTGGAAAGACGCCAAAGCTCTTGAGGAAGCGTCCCAGTCATGTAGTTGGAAAACAGGCTCAGAAAAGTTAGTTCTGTCAGCAATCCCAACTCGCTTGGCAGTCTACCTCTTGGACGACCCATGCCAAAATTAATCCGTGTCAAGGAAGTCAAGAGGCCGATCTCGGGAGGCAGGTGATAAGTTTTTACCTTCCAGCAGCCAAATTTAGCAGAGTTTGGAATCGAATCGCCCGTCCCTTGTGCAATTTGGCCCGCGATCCAGCTTCTGGAATTTCTTCCAGTTGCCAAAGCCACCAATTGCTGCTTGCGCCAACCCGGCATGCCTTCATTGAATTCTGGATGATGATCTCCTAACCAAGCGAGAGCTTGTGCTTGTAGAGAAGAGGCATTTCTGGAAATGGCTTCCAACGTGTATGGTGGGAGGAAGGACCTGGCGACGGCGATTGCAGTAGAAGTTGGGCTTGCAGGCGGCTCTTGGCGGGGCGCTCCAGTGGCCGTGGGGGGCAGAGACGGGATCGGAATACTGCCCGTGCCTGTGGTAGGGCTTGGCGACTCTCGGGCCAGAGAAGAATTCCCAAGTTGACCTTCGCCAGCAGCGCCTTCGAGGCGTTCAGTCGTTCCCTTCCAGATTGATGCCGCCACCGAAATCACGAGAACGACAGTAACAGCAACGGTCATACCGGTACGAAGGCGGCCTTGACCGTTCGCCGAGGCCGCCGTTGGCCATCTGTATGTTGAGAACAGACCTTTCTGCTTGTCAAGCGACGAGGGACAAGAATGGAAGTCTGTCATTTCAAGCTGTTGCTCTCCATTGTCCTCTTCTTGCGGCAATGGGCTCCAGCCACCAAAGCCGGGGATCCGTGAGCTAAACATATACTAGTATTGGTTGGGGTAGCAGTGTCCTGCTCTGTCGCTCCTGGGGTTGTTGCCGCTGGGTGTGCAAACCTTGGTGTAGGGTGTTGCCGAAGAGTGTCCCCGGTGATCTCTGATCTCTGAGGCCATCTTTTACATGCGGGGTTACCCTGTTTTTGCTAGCCTTTGGCCGCGCCGGTTTTGCTCTAGCCTTTGCTAGCCTCCACACTGAGCGCGTGCCCTCCCGCTGAACACCCTCCGAACGTGGATAATATCCAACGACGGTTAAACTACTGTACTGACCCAAGCCAGTGCGTCGGACGTCACCCCAAGCATCACGCTATGATACGTAGCTTCCACGGTAATCAACACGCCTCCACACAACAACACCCAGCAACAGCAACAAGCGGGTTGGGCAGTTGGGCAAAGAGATATCCACGCGGTGTATGATACCGAATGCAGGCGTACTGTCGATCAACTTTTCCAACACGAAACTCTAGGATTTTCCAACACGAAACTCTAAGAGATTACGACGACATCAACTGAGGCAAGGGTGTGCATTTTAGTTTTTCCTCTTCCTCTCTCTGGGCCCGAAGTAGGTATGTCTGAAGGGGCTGATTACGACGGTCTGAGCCTGGCCGAGGCGATACGACAATTGAAAGAGAAGGATAGACAGATCGCTAAGCTCGAGGCGGAGTCGTACAAAGGAAGTGTTCAGGAGATGCTTTACAGCTTTGGTGGGATCCCTGATATGCCAGACATAGGACTGCCTCCTCACCAACACTCCAGACCTGGTGCTCCATTCTCAATTAGAGAGGACTTTGTCACGCCGGAGGATCTGAACTTTACGATCCGCGTGAAGCATCAAGAGGAACACATCAAGTCTTTTTTGGGTTACAACCATCTCGACTCAAACTCTGACGGTACAACAACCCTTTCCTACCACAACGAGGCAACGGTTGCCGCCTATGTGGATGGCGTGGTGAAAATGTGCTTGAAGACGTTGGGATATTTCGAAAACACTCGCGTGTTCAAGGAGATGACACTTTTCTCCCTACGACCTGATTTGATTGTGGTGGAACACCCAAACGAGGGAATAATTTTGGTGATTGAAGTCAAGATGCCTGGTGAGGTGCTGTTTAATCCCACGCGAATTGCGGAGGAAGTGGCGCATTCTCTATTGCTTCATTTTGGCTAGGAAATCCATTACCATTTGTTCTCTTGTCGTCTTATCCGGAGGCCTGCCTGTGTTGCTTGCGGCCAGGGAGTATTAATGGGACAGAGCAGATGAACCTGACACAGTCGGACCAGCCAATTGAAGCAGAACGTGACACAGTCGGACCAGCCAGAAAAGTCGTGTTGGAAGCCGCCACAAAGCTTAAAGCCAGAGTGTGGACCTATCCTCAATCGTGGAGCAAGACCAAAACAAGACCAAGCCTGACATTACACCGACGAAACCTGCCTACGAGAATCCCAGCAAGATCCCAACTTCTTTGCCCGATCACGCCACCACAGGTCGCCGTGCCACCGGCAAAAGAAAGCAAGTCACACCGACGATTCATATCATTGCGCCAGAAGTGTATTACTCCGAACCGTTCACACTCGCCAACATGATGCAGGGTGTATCGCTGGCTATCACTTGCGGACTCATCTCTCTGAAAGAGAGGAAAACTGATAAATTGGATCTTTGGCCCGATCAGGGATCTACGCTGGATGGCTTGCACCCCTGTGTGGAGAAGGAGTGTTTCAAATGGGCACAGGTGAAAGATATGACCATCGATTATATGGAAGCCCCGCTCCCAAACGAGGGTTTTGAAAGATATTTCCTTGTGCGAGAGACTGGGCATGGTAAAAATGGTCGAGTTTCACTCGCTGTGGATAACTTCCACCTGCCCCCCCTCGTATCCGTCGCCATTGTCTTCCTCCTTCTGGTTTCCTCCTGTTGCTGACTTTGCAGCCCACATGCGCCGTGGGTCGGTCTTGTCTCTGCCGTGGGCACTCCAGTGGTTTCAGATCGATAGCCATCACGCTAGGTCACACACGATCAACAACATCGTCTCCGCGTCTGCCTCAAGTTTGTGACTCTCTCCATCTAAACATGGGGATTGGCTCCTCTGGATCTCCAACCCCGCTGTGATGGCTGCAAGAAAAAGTTTTGGTCTCCAGCATGCCTTTCCTGCTCTGTCATAAGAGGAAGCTCGAGGTGTCTTTGGCCTTATTCCGGCGTTTCTTGGGTTCTGAAAAGGTGAACAAACTTGTCAATCTCTTCAGCATCATGTTCCTTGAGAAGGACATCAAGAATCCTCTCCTTGTCTGTTGGATTGGTACACTTCGCTTCCAAGCAGCTAGTTTGCAAGTGAGAGAACATATCTGGGCCGGTGACATGGGTCTTGTTCGGTATCAACCCAAGCTTCTTGGCGTACATGCACTCACACACACACCAGATGCGACTGTACAAATCTGTGACGGTGTTTCTCACCACAACAAACGTCAATGCATGGTCCAAGGCCAACACAAAAGGCGACGTGGTAAGAGGGCTTTCTTCGGTTCCAACTTGAGCCTTCACTGTTTCGGCATCACATTGGTTCAAGGCGAAAGCGCAGATCCACAAATTGGGCTTGAACAAAGTCGTCTGGAACACCTTTCGAATCGAGAGCACAAAGTCCGGAAATGGTTCGTCCCAGCTGTGAGAAATGAAGCTATCTAACATAAGTCCTTCAGGGTTGCAAGTAAGAGCATACGATTTGCCAGATTTTTGGCACGTAGGCTTGAGCACTTGTCATTGACATCTCTCATTGTCATGGTGGCATATGAGGAACCAAACTGCTTCGACAAAATGTTGTCAAATTCCATGAGCTGCCAATAAGAGATTGACCACATGCTCGGAGAACTTGTTGATTCCATTCGGAAGTTTGTCTGGAAGGCTTCAATGTGTTGCAGCTGCTGGATAACTAGTGCCCAGCAAGTGGGTCGATTGGCTGGTTGAGGTTGAAGCAAATCAGCAAGAATGCCCCGAGGCCATCCTTTGGAGACAAGACTCAGCTTAGACAGCAGCATTTTCTTATTCCAGCTCATGATCTTGCCAAGTTCTGTGTCTTTCACGTCCTCTCTTGTGTCCATTCCGAAGAGCTGCTCTCCCGTGCAGAGGTAGTACAACAGCACGCCAAAGCACCACATGTCATACTGTGCCGTTGCAACCACTGGCTTCCGCACCGGTGCTACATTTTGAATCTGTTCCAGCTTCCCCTTTGCTTCATTGTGGGCTTCTAATAGACGAAGCTGCTCCTGGTAGTTCCCAACATCGTATGCCCTGATCATCTCCTCTTTCAGCCCTTTCAACTCCGCGTGCACCATTGCATGAGCCAACGGTGCCCCCTTTGTACCTCGGAGGGAAGCTTCCACTCTTGCTTGCTCCGGTGGCAAATACCCAGAGCTCGTTCGCTTCTTTCCCACAGCCTCACAGTCTTCAATGGAAGCTGCGTTGTCAAGGTCAATGGCAGCAAACCCTGCGCCAACACCAAGTGAGACGAAGTTTCGAGCCTTCACGTCCCCATGCACTACCTGGCATTTCTCATTGAGATACTGAAGGCATTCTGCAATACATGTGGCAATTGACAGCACCATGGGTAGATTCCTGCCAGCGATGTTGTGATGAGATATAACATCGTGAAGGTCCAAGCCTGCTCCACATTCCATGACGAGAAGATAAGCAATGTCGTCAGTCCCTCTCCCACTTGTAAGAATGTTCTGGTGGGTCTGCAAACCTTCCAGAAGGTTTGCCTCGTACACAACACCGACGCTTTCCATGCAGGCTTGCGCCGCTTTGCTGGCATCGTTTTCTGCGATTGAGGTGTATGCAGCCACTATGGGCACAACGAAGTGGCGCTCGGCATGTGCTTCATAGTGTAAGTCAATGATACGTCTCTTGTCAATCTCCCGACAGAAAGCATCAAAACTGCTCAGAAACTTTAGAGCAACTTGTGCTTCGTACCGTTGCCCAGAGCCGTCTACCCTCGATTCCATTGCAAAGGCAACAACACATGTTTCAGAAATGTGTTTGGGTTCTTGATCTTTGTTGATCCTGTACCTGCCCAGGAAACGACCGTAGGTTTGACCCCAATTCCGGAGTCGTTCTGAACTAAGAGAGAGCTTTGCTCGATCCGCAACTTTCCTCATCGTTTCCTCTGTTGCTTTATTGCGAGTTTGAAACTGCAGAATAGTTTTCGCATCGTCACTGCAGACTATTTTCACATTTTGATCCCCACTGCACCAGTGGCCTCGCTGTTCAACAATTTGAATGAGCATGTCAGATGCATCATCGTTGTCAAGATCGGCGAGTATCTCCAGGAAGGTCCACCCAGGAATGACTTTTTCGTTGATGTCAATGGTTTTGGTGTTTCTACTTGAATCATGTGAGTTGTCGTTAAAAAATAGCATAAGATACATAGTTAGAAAGCTAGGCCTTTCAAGGTTGCAGAGCTTCTTTAGTGGACGACCATCTCGAAGTCCTTTCAGCAGTGACTTGATGGGCGGGACCCGCGTGGTTACTTCATTTGCGGGTGTTCTGCCAGCCGACAATGCTCGAACTTGTAAATTGATCAGAAAACTGATGGGAGAAACTCCAGAATCATTCTCAATCTCTGCAGCGAGTGGATAGGCATGACAGAGTGCCCTAAACAGATGAGAACCACTCGTATTCTGTGGTTGAGGACGGCTTCTTTGCTGGTCTGCTTTCGACATCAACTCCATAGCCAAGAAAAGCAAAGCTGTATTGCCTTGCCTGTCCTTGGCTCTGGCAGCGGCTGGACAGTGATTGACCACAGCTCTAGCCATGGCGACACTAGCGGCCAGGGACGACATGGAAACTCGCTTCGCTATCGTATGAAGAGGAGTGTATCCATTCTTGTCCTTAACCTTGGCCGCATCGGGATAACTCGTCAGCAACGCCATCACTGCTGGAACTGAGGGCTGCTGGACATATCGATGTAACGGTGACATTCCATCGCGGTCCAAGGTCGTTGCTGCTCCTGGATAAGCATTGACAACAGCAGCGATGATATCCGGCGCATCGTCCCTTGCAGCGCAGATGTGCAGTGGTGTCCTTTGCTTGCATAGCACCATTGCCTCGGGAAAGGCATCGAGGACAAGCTTGAGGGTCTGAATCGACGCGCCATTTTGGACCCCAAGGTATAAAGGCGAACGACCCTCGCGATCAAGCAAATCTTTTGTCGTGTAAGGAGAATTCTCTAGCAGGTCAGAAACGGCCGGATGAGAGGCATTCGTGGACATTGCCAGATGCAACGGGGTGTGTCCATTCATGTCCTTGCAAACGCTGTATCCCTTTTCATGAGTCTCAAAAGCCTGAACAACCATCGCGACCACTTCATCGTAAATTGGTTTTCCCATCATTTGGTGAAGCATGGTCCGTCCATTCTCCAGTCTCCCCTCTACCACCTCAGGAAAATACACAAGAATCGACTGCAGCACCTCTGCTTCGATCCCATGTTCCAAGCCAGCCAGGACAGGGGTCCTTCCTGCTCTGTTCTTGGTTCCGAGAGCCGATGGACAATGTTGGGCCATGGAAAGGATTGTTTCCAAAGGAAATTCTGGTCGCATGGCAAGATGAAGCGGTGTTTCTCCCTCGAGAGTGAGGCTTGGCTCATGAAGTACACCAACTGCGGCTGGGAATGCATCCAGAACCATTGTTATCGACTTCAGTGACCATGGCGAAATGTCCCGGTCTCCAGCTTTCTGCGGTTTTGCCGGATGGTATGATGTAAGTCCACTGTGAAGAGGCGTTCCCCAAAAAATGTCACTTTTACTTGCGGCTTTCGGATTGGCATCCAAAACTACTGCGATCGCGCCGGTAGGTGCCCGATGGAACATGCCAAGATGCAACGGTAGCCTTCCATTGGAATCTTCCATTTCAGCTGCCCGGGGAAACGCAGCCAGCACCATCCGGATAGACTCTGGGCGGGCTGCACCAGCCATTCCCATATGCAGGGGTGTCCAGTTTCTCGATGTCTCCGCTGTCATTGTGGCCAATTTCTCGTACTTTTTGAGTATTGTCTCTATAATTTCCTCGGGGGCGTCGAATTTCAACGCCAAATGAAGGAGATTTTCGCCGTACCGTGAAGAACTTTTCTGTCCCCATCCTGTAGCCTTGGCCAATGGGGTGGTACCTAAACAAGTTGGATTGTTCCGTATTAGGTCATTCGTCTCCTTGAGAATAGAAGGGGTCCATTTTCGTGCTTCGAGGTTCCTCACGATGATTTCATCTGCTTTCTTTGCAGCAGGGTCTGACGGCTCGCCATACCTAAGAATCCGATGCCTATCCCGAATGTTCTTCTTCATCTCGGACGGTACCGTTACGGCATCCTTGCGACGTGGTCGCCAGGATGTAAAACTGGGAAGTTATTACTAGTAGCGGTAGTAGCTAGCTTGGGCTTCTAAAGTAGTATACGGTAGGGGTCAACAACTGTGCAGAGAGGATCTTGCGATCTTGCGTTTGGGTGTGATGTGGGAAAAAGATTTGCAATTTTGACCGTTGTTTCCACGAAAACCCCTTTTTAGAATTTGTAAAAGTAAAAACTACAAATGTTTGCCCCCGCCGTCTTTCGTGCAACCACCTCTCATTCATCAGCTATCGGTAGAGTGCGGGCACACTGAGACCATAGTGTGGTCACATTGGCATTTACAACTACCAACATCAAAGGAGAAGACGAATTGGTGAACATATCTTTCTCCTACCTACATTTCTAATAAGTACAAATGCTTATCTCCCCTTTATAGATGAAAACAAAAACAGAGATAACTGACACGGGGTTCGTTGCTGGTCACACAGCTTGAACCCTGATTTTGCTGTGCAATCGGCCCTTTCGTCATGGCATCCGCACAAATGGCCGCACAAATGCTGCTGAAGCAACTCGACAACTTGTCCGGAAACTCGTTTTGAACAGACTAGCGCTGTGCGGTTTGAACAGTACGTACTCTATGATTCAGATTCATCTAGCTGGAGGCTTGCTCCTTGCTATCGGAAGTTGTGGTTGCGGATGGAACCAACCAAGGGAAGTTCTTTTGAAACACTTGACGGTACACAAACTGACCGGGCAGGAACTGCCCCACCATAAGCAGTTCATCTGCTGGAGAAGGACATAGTTTGTCTATCCAGTCATTGTATGCCTTACTGCGAGATCGTGTGGATCCATTGACATCTACCAAAGCTGTAGCACCTCCTTCAAGGTTACTCCCTTTGATCACCATTCCATCCAGGACGCTGTTGGCAGACATGCCTGCATCCTTTTGGAAGCGTGCATGGAACTCTCGAGCAACCCGCAGTTGTGCCTCGTATTGGCTTTCCTCGTCGTCCGACAAGGCTGCCTTCTCCTCTGCTTTGGAAGATGGTGGTCGCGGATAGACCTCGGACATGAAGTTGATAAAGTGGCGTGAGCCACTGGGAGAGCGACCCAGATCAGTCATCCAAACAGTGGATGCCTCAATGTTGCGAAGTAGCATATAGAGATTCAAGAATCCCAATGGACCTTGGATTCCCTTTCGTTGGTGGGATGGTGTAACAATAAAGAGACCATAATGAATACAAGGAGTGCCATCACTCAGCTCCCAGGAGAACGCAACATTGAAAGCCGCTGGTTCGTTCTCGTCGAAATTCGCGCCTTCGTCAGTTTTGGAATACAACATCACAATGGCCTTGTTCTCAACAGATTGACCTTTCATTACTGGATAGTCGAGAACACATCCAAGAGTCTCTTGGCACATGGACGACAAATGCTTTGCAATGTAGGCTGTGGTTTCCTCATTTTGCAAACCGACAAATCGTCGGGCCATGTACTCGCTGTTGAAGGTGAAGGGTGTTCCATTTTCGTAGGCCATGCGATCCCATTTTTGACGGCAAAGCGAGTTGACAATGTAAGCGATCATGGTACCAGTACTGTGATACTGATGATAAAGAGAGGAGAGGGACTGGAGAGGAGACTGCGACTTGTGTTTCTGTGGTTCTCTTCTGTTGTGGTTGTCTTTTGTCACGGTGTACTGTGTAGTCTGGTGGTTTGAAGCGGAAGGGGTTTGATGGTTTTGAGGGGTTGCCGAGTACTGTATTACCATACTAGTAGAGTACCGGAACGTACCGGCTAATTAATGTGGCCGTTAAGCAAACCGGTACGGTAGCCGGAACAGTCAGTCGTACCGTACGGCAAAAACCCCGGTACCAAAGGCACCTATTGACAACGGCGGCTGTGAGCTTATGGTACCAGAGCACCCGTACCGGTACTGTAAGCTAAGCTTCCATTCATTGTTTCTGCATTCCCTTTGTACATGTAGACATGTAGAGCTGCCAAATGATTTTTAGCAGGATCTCGCTACTTGTACCGGTACTACCGGTACACTTTGTAGCTAGCTGGCTAGCTAGCCTACGGTACCTCTGGATCCTCCAGCTTTTCCCGTCAAGAAACTCGGTGCCCATGCATGCTTGCTACAAAAGTAGTTTCTGACCTTGTGGATTGACTGACTTCAAGCCGTTGACTTTTATTGTGGAGCAAAGCAGGCAGAAATATCCAGTTGGGGAAGCTATTGGGGATCGGCGGCCGCATACTACACCCTTGATATTGATGGTTTTAGCGTGCTGGATTGGACATGCACTGGTATCGAGACTTCGTCCCGTCGACGTATCGATGGGGGCAGAGCACACAAGGAATCCAAGATCTCTTCATTTTAAAATTGCATTACACTTCGCACGTCCTCTAAGAGTGGACCAGTGGTTTTCTGGTTTCCAGCACACGAATGATGCAAAGCATAAGCACGGCCCAATGGCTACGGTACGGCACCGAATTCATCTACTGGTGTCTATCCTCGCTTCGCAGGGTACAAGGAATCTCTCCTTCCAGAACTAGAGTCAGGATTGAGCATCCAAGTGTGTGTCCCCAAAGCAGCAGCTGCAAGGAGCCAGGACAAGGTTGCAGCCAAAGCTATTCCAGCTCCTGGACTCGTTTGATAAGCCAAATAAGCAGTGAAGGCCTTGGTTGCCACCATTCCGTACAGCATGAGCACCTCCCAACCGCTCCTCCACGCGGTTTCTGTTTTTGAAGGTGGAATGGCGGCAAATTGCCGAATGACATCGAAGAGTGAGTGTAATGAAAATACTGCATTTGGAAGCCGCAGTCAACCACACCTTCATTACATTGAACTTACATGCTGTTCCACAAAGTGGCAAATCCCAAATGCAACATGAGTGACATGGTGATTGGGTTGGCATAATATCCGACCTTCTCCACAATCAAAGCCATGGTGTAGGCTCGAGTGCCAAAAACAAAGAACGGCCACATGACGGCAAAGACCCAACCAGGAGGTGTCCAAGATGGTCTCTTCCTCCCAGGAGACGCATATGATCCTTCCGAAACTTTTGGTAGTGGATTGAATTTGGAGGACAAAAGATTCAGAGCATAGAATAGAATAGTGTTGGTCCATCGTGGTAGACCCTCCCCATTAGGCACGGCTGTGACCACGGTGTCGATACAGGACCAGACCAAGAAGAGAGCGGACATTTGCACTGCCAGAGACCCAACATATTTCCCAATGGCTTTGAAGTCGACAGGTGGTCTCGTTGTCGCTCCTTTTGCACTGTTGACGGCTTTGGGGGTCTCTTGCTTGGTTCCCTTTGATATTTGTTGTCTGGGTGCAGATCTTGCCTTTTTCTTCGAGACAAAGGAAGCGAATGGGGTCGGGATAGCCGACGATAAAGCCAACTGCAGGGCCAGCACTAATAATAGGATAGCGCCAACTTTTCTCATGGTGCTGGATGAGGAAGGAGAAAGGAGAGATGAAGATACTGCGATACTGCGGGCTGCAACACTCTTGGTGTGGTGTGGTCAACGAATTGAGCATTCGGAAGCCCAAATGACGTCAGACAGGCACGAAGATTTCCGAGTGGGTGTTGGGGGGAAGGAGTGTGCGGCTAGCTAAGAAGACTTTGTCTTTCTACACTTATTAATAGTCTTGATGCCATTGTCCCCTTTGTCCCAGTACCAGTACCTTTTATTCTAGCTAGGTCTGGACATTGGAAAAGTCAAGGTCCATGTCGCACGAGACAGGACCAGACCTTTGTCCATGCACGTCTGCAGTCTGGGGTCAACTCTGTAGCGCCACACAAACCACCACCACAATTCATAAGCCGAGGACTACCACAATGGCACATCGCTATCAACAAGATACCAGGAACAAGGGCTCGTCATCTTGGGATGCAGGAGCGGTGGAAGGTTTTCCATGGGTGTTTGTTGGCTCCTTGTCAGCCGCCGAAAACCAGCTTGAGCTGGCCGCCCGTAACGTCACTGGCCTTTTGACCGTGGCAGGGAAACTGGGCGTGACAACGCCTCCGTCTTGCGCCGAACGACATGCCCAGATCGATATCGACGATCATCCAATTGCCAATCTGTTGGAAGTCGCCCAGCAATGCATTGACGTGATCGATGATGCTCAAAAGGATCACGTCGATTATCAAGCTGCGGCCGGGATGCAAGATGAAGAGACCCCGGCTCCGTGTCTGCTCGTCCACTGTGCGTCAGGGATATCTCGTTCGGTTTCGGCCGTCGTGGCCTGGCTGATGGTGCGGCAGCGCTACAGTCTTGACCGAGCGTTGGAGGCAGTTCGGGTCCATCGGCCTCTTGCCAAACCGAATGTGGGTTTTATGCAGCAGCTCCAAATGCTGGAGAAGCATAATGGCAACCTCGAGGCAGCACGAAAGGAGTGGGACAAACACTCTCAAAAGGATATCTGGGAGCTGACCAGCGCCAGACGACGACTAGCAAATGACCTGCACGCACGAGTGGACGACTTGGAGGTACGAATTCAACAGCAAATATCCGACCAGCAGCATCAAGGCTCGAGAGAAGAAGGAGAGCAAGTACGAGGAGCATCCAAGAATGTGAGCTTACTACTACGAGAGTCTCATGTGATCAGTGATTGCCTCGATAAGACCCGAGACGAGACCGGAGAAGGGCTGCCAATGGACAGAGTGACTGGCACGATCTTGAAGAGTGCTCGAGGGAAGCTAGAGAGGCTCATCGATAACTTGACCGGCCGGGAAGATTAATAACTATATAACTAGCTCGAATGTGGGATTATGGTATGGATCATGTGCGTGGACACTTCTCAGCATTGCTGCATCGTCGGTACTCTCTAGGTGCGTGGACACTTCTTAGCATTGCGGCATGTCGGTACTCTCTAGTTGGCTAGTGCTAGCTAGATAGCATTCTAGCTAGCAAAGGTTTCATTATTTGAGTCGATGCTTTCAAATTCGTCCCCCGTCCACCACCCCGCATTCCTACGGTACCGGTATCATAGAGTTCCGGATGCATCTAGCCATCCTCCTTGCGGCGCTGAGCTGCCGTTGCGATCTCGCCAAAGTGCCTGGCGGTGTAACAAAGCTTCGACAAATTAGTTCGTGGGGCCTGGTTTCGGACGGATTCGTGCGGGAGTGGACAGTTATTGTAGTTCAGTCGTTGATAGCGTAGCAGCAGCACTAACTGGCACTATCCAGGCAGTCAACAAACCCAGGTTTGAAAACAACACCAGATCCAACAGGAAAGTGAAGAGGAAGGAGAGAAGACTGCCGACCATAGAGACAGCAGCTCGAGCCCTCTTGTCTGATTCGAGTCACAGAACCGCCGTCAAGAGTTAATCCTACAAGGCCAGCAGAGAGCGATCGAAGAAGCCATTATCACCGAGCGCACACCGGTACTACTATCAGATACCCCATCGTTCTTCATCGATACCTTTACACAACAACTACAACAACATCAACAACAAACATCTACAACAAACAGCAATAACAACACAACAATGAGCAAACCAACACCATCGACCCGTCCAGGGGCGTACACAGTGCAAAAGACGGGTCAGCGACCGGCCCAAGATGTCACCGTGGTGGTTCCCCACCAAGTTCGACCGGGCCAAGACTTTTTTGTGCAACTCGGAGAGCGTCGAGTCCGAGTCAAGTGCCCCATGAACAGCGGACCAGGTCAATCTCTGCGGTTAACCATGCCCGCAGAACCCATGTTCCAGACATCTTATCTTCAAATGGCGCCCTTGACAGCGGCAGAAGGTCCCGGTGGCGGAGGAGCCGTGGCACGACAAAACTCTCAAAGCGACTCGGACAAACCGCAAGCGTACTTGGTGACGATCCCTCCCAACGTATATCCGGGAAACCAATTCATGGTAGATATCAACGGTCAGCGCTTCCAGTTGACATGTCCGCCCAATGTGGGCCCCAATATGAAGGTCAAAATTGTACCTCCCATGCCGGCTTCGGAAAAACAAAGAACAGACGTATCCAAACCGTACACGTGTGGCTGGGACGATAACCGGGCATTGGGCGACCCAGCTGCCGAATCCAAGACGCAAATGTTCGAAGTCGTCGTGCCGCCAGGTGTGAGTCCCAATCAGAGTTTTGCGCTCAAGGCCAATGGACAACGAGTATTGGTCACCTGTCCGCCCAATGTCCGCAGTGGACAAAAAATTCGGTTCCAAATTCCAGTTACACAAACCATGGTCAAACACATCAAATTGGATTACGACACCCCCGCCGAGGATGGTTCTGCTACCAGTAGTGTTAGTAGTGCTATGCGACAATCCCAACAACCCAAAACGGGATGGTCTCGAACCATTCGAGTGGCCGACTTGAAATTCCAATGGGTCCGAACCGCCGACGAAACCAGCGGCGTCGCCGCGACGGCACTCGATACCCAAGCCATGAATAAATTCGATTTTCAAAAGTCCGCATATTGTCGACAGCTCACATACATGGAAGGCAACGATCCTCGATTGCGCACCGGGTCGCTCCAGTGGATCTCGGCCAAGGACGCCGTCGTCGATAGTCGCGTCGCTCATAAAGGACAAATTCTGGCGCATTATGCGGATTTTGCCGAAATTCAACGGGCATCATCCCTCGAAGCCAAACTCAATTGGTTCGAAGGCAAGCTCTGCCAACCACTCTTGTTGCCGTACGAAGAAGGACATATTAAGATTGTTGTGCGGCGGCAATTTCTCCTGCCCGATTCGGTGGCATCCATCATGTCGCTCAGTCGAGTGGAATGTCGCAAAAAGTGGCGTTTGGAATTCATGGGAGAGAAAGGAATGGATGTGGGTACGTGCTCTTCATAATATTATGGATTGTTGTTGGATGGCTGCTGTGATCGCGTGTGGGTGATCCAGTGACGCTCACGCAGATACTTTTCTTTTCTCGCTACTTTTTCTTTTTCAACAACAGGGGGCCTGACACGAGAGTGGTTCTTATTGTTAACGGAACAACTCTTCGATCCAGGTACGTGGACAACAAGTAGCGTTGCGTTTCCCAACTGTGCAGTATTTTCTCATTCACGAATTTGATTCTCTGTGCTTTCGTTAGCCTTTGGATTGTGGAAGCATCCCCACTCGGAAGCACAGGGAACGGTCAGCATCCATCCCAATTCTGCCGTCACTTGTCCCGAGGATCATCTAGTGTATTTCAGAGTGCTTGGCCGTATCTTGGGAAGAGCGCTGTTGGATCGACAATTGATTCACAAGGGAGGACACATGGCACGATTCCTTTACAAACACCTGTTGGGATTCCCCATTACGTTTGATGATCTGCAGGATCTAGACTACGAGTACTATACGTCGTTGCGAAAGCTGGTCGGTATGGGAGACCAAATCGAATATGCTTGCTTGGATTTCACTGTCACCGAAGATCTACTTGGCGCCAAGACCTCTCTCGATTTGGTCCCGGGTGGAGCGGACAAAGAGGTCACAGCCGAAAACGTGGGCGAGTATCTGGAAGCATGCTTGCGATACCGCATGATGGACCGAATCCAACCACAATTGACCGAGTTGCTGCTCGGGTTCTTTGACGTTGTCCCCGAACCGGCACTGACAATTTTCGATTGCAATGAGCTCGAGTTGGTGCTCTGTGGCTTGCCCACAATCGACATGGCCGATTGGCAAAAGTTCACCGCCTACGAAGGTGTGTTTCGTAACGAAGGGCCTTCTCATCCTGTGGTCAAATGGTTCTGGGAAGTTGTCACACAAGACTTTGATGCAGAGCTGCAAGCGAGATTGCTTCAGTTCGTCACTGGAACCAGTGGGGTTCCTGCGGCAGGGTTTTCTGTCTTGCAAGGCAACGACGGCAATGTGCGACTATTCACCCTCCACGGAACTGACCCAACCAAGAAAGATTCCACTCACGACTACCCAAAATCACAGTAAGTTGGATTTTTCGTGGTGCATCGATGGGTGCGACCGACGAGTTTTCTCACGCCTTCTTCTTCTTTGCACGCAGCACCTGTTTCAATCGGTTAGACCTGCCTTCCTACAAGACCAAGAAAGAGTTGAGAGAGAAGTTGAAGGTTTCTGTGACGGTCGCCGCTGTTGGGTTTGACATGGAGTAGATGTGTATACAACTATTATAGCTTACTTTTTGCAAAAGCAACGTAGTATGCCCAAACGACTGGAGTGAGGGCCGCGACGAAAAGGTCGCCGGGGGCGACAGCAGCCAGACGCGACTCCCGGCGGCCCCGTTGAGTATTGAACCAATCCGAAAGTGCCGCATGATCACTCACTGAATTCGTGACACCCTGGATCCCTCCTTCGGCCTGGCACGAGCTTTCCCTGGTGTTGAAGGCCGGGGCGTCCAGTTTGCAAAAGTTAGAAACACAAACACGCGTACCGTGATACCACTGATAGGGCCGAGCCAACGGCATTGGTTCGGGACAGGGCAGGAGGCAAAGAAATTTCTCGAGCAGTGCCTTTCAGATCGGCCAAGGACATCCAGATCGCAAAGTGTAGACGCACATACTCGTACGGTAGCATGGCATTGCCTGGGGATAGAGGAAGATATTATATGTGTGACCAGGGACGAAGATTCCGAGGATAAGTTCTTTTTAACAAGCCACAGCAGTACGTACCGTACAGCCAGGGCACACACAAAGGAAACGCCGTGGCTGGCACGCTGGCTACCGTATTAATACATTAATTGCAGTCAAACGTAACGAATGTTCATCTTGCAATAATATTATTGTTATTCTTCTCAGAAAACAGTCAATAGTTCTCACAAAAACCTCGGGGGAGATTGATCATTCAAAATCATTCTATCATACCGGTATCGTACTAGTATCATTGTTGTTATTTCTTCTCAGTAGTTTCCTGTCACCCATCTCCACGACACCATGGCCAAGAGTGGCCGTGGAAAATCCTCTGGGGAGGAGAAGACTCCAAAGAAAGTGGCGCCTGTGAGAAAGAAGAAAGCGGCCGCCAAGCATGAACCCAAGAAAAAGCCACCTGCCAAAGTCAAGGCAATGCCGCAGACGGCAGCCATGGGATGGCGAGCGTCGCTTCTCGAAGGATCCGCAGATACAAAAAAGATCCTCAAAGAATCTGAAAATGCCCTTGTGCCCTACACAATTGGTACCAGCAATGCCAAACAGAAGAACAAACGCTCGTGGCCATCGACTCTGTTTCTTGATGCCACCTATTCGCGTGGAATTTTAGTAGACAAGAACAGTGACGAGCCCTATTTCGCTCCTACTCCTGGATATGCCGAGAACGATAATGAGCCAGGTCTTCGCTATCTGCCTTTTCTCTCCAATGTCGAAGCCAAATTATGGTGCCACAAAGTGAGTATCTTTTCTGTCGGCATTTTTTGTCTTTTTTCTTTGCCACGCCACGCCAATCAATCTAATTTTTTTGTTGCCTTGTCTATTTATTTGCAACAGCACGCAGCCCACACGGCCGTGGCCAGACGCTTTCCAGTGGAAATTGGGCGTCTCCTTGGAACCATTACACTGGAAATCCAGGAGAAGGTAGGCGGCAAGGGAAAACCAAAGACAGATTCCACAGTACCCGACACGATTCGGGATATGGAAAAGAAACAGCGTGCTAAAAATCAAAAGACCAAGACATCTCCGTTTCTATTGCAATTGGAGGAAAAGCGTGATCCAAAGGCCATTAAGCGCATCACTCACAAGCAAGCGTCCAATGAGGCCGCCACGGAATGCATCCAAACACCCATGGACGCGACAAGTAGTTTGGCACGAGTCCATGAAATACAAGAACAATGGAAAGCCGTTCAAAATAGCAAACCGTACGTGGAACCATGGGACAAACAGGATGGATCCTTCTTGCATGGAAAAGACGATGACAATCACGTGACCGTAAGGGCTCTCCAGGCATGGTTGGATAAAGGGGTCAAAGCGGGGACATTGGTGGATTTGCACAAGAACAGGACCAAAGAACTATATGGAGGTTTGACTCGAGTTCCTATTGACGCAACGGATATATTGGATGCATTGTTTGTCTTGGCGGATCCAAATGAATCATCAATCTACGGTGTTCCCCTGGTGACTGCTTATCCTCGCATGGAACGGTGTTCCACTGACAGTGCCAAGAAAAAGGGATCCACTGTATGCTGGAAAATTCAAATTGGTGTCTACATGCATAGGTTGCTGCCGGAAATCTTTTGCTGCCAAAGCCTGCACATTGTCATGTCGGCATTGGATGAAGGCTCTTACCGCATCACACAACCGCTGGTGCTCCCCCCAAGGGGGAAAACAGTCTTTAAAAGCGCTCCCTACCCCAAAGTAGACACGAGCTTACTAGAGGAGGGAACCGACAAAAGCAGCAAGAAGAAGAAGAACAGCCCCGAAATCATTGACGTTGACGAAGACATGGAAGGAGGCAGTCGAGAGGAAATGATCGTTTCTCCGTTTAGTGTCAAGGGATTGCTCAAAATGTTGGAGAACAATGGATGCGACGTGTCTAACGTAAGCCCTGGCCGTTTGGAGAATCGGTCAGCACCACTGAGTCTCACGTTGTTGTGTGCTTTGCGTCTCTGCTTCAAACTGATCCATGGCAGTGGCCTCAGATTCAGCAAGAGTTGCGGGGCAAATTCAAGTTGGATCTATTGCTTCATCAACAGCATGCGATTTGCTGGATGATCCAAATGGAACATTTGAAGGGAGCATACGGGATAAACTCTGTCTTGTGGGAACAAAGATCTTTCCTTGATGGGGGAGAATACTATTATTCCCCTGCCTTGGGCCAGATCCGACTAGGGAAGCCGCCTCCGCATATGAAAGGTGGACTGTTGGTAAGCGATGTTAATTGTGTGCCACGCCAATCGAGACGTCTTGATGATGGCAGCCAACATGCCGCTCACATGACTTTTCCTTGGTCTCCAAGATTGATGAGCAAGGATGCGGCAAGACCGTGGAGGTCCTTGGTTTGATCATGGCCACTCTTCCAGAGCTCAAGGCGACAGTTCGGCATCGCACAGGAGATAACTATGAAGGGGACACCTATTATTCTGCAGCCAGTGAAGACGAAGAAGAGTACATTACCCACACAACACTGATTGTTGTACCTCCAGGTACGAAAAAAACCATAGATGGTCCGACAGGTTATGAATACTGCTAATCCTTTGGTTCTCTTTGGCCTTACCCCCAGCTTTAGTGGGGCAGGTACGTCGGGTTTGAACCAGGCTTGTGCATGGTCGGCCAGGTTATAAACACTGCTAATCCTTTTGTTCTCTTTGGCCTCATCCAGTGGCTCCACGAAATTGAGAAGGCTGTGGGGAAAACAACCCTCACGGTGTGCTTCATGGCTGCCCAGAGCGGGGAAGTGAAGAAGTGCCTCCCGCCACCTCCAAATGACAACCAAGGGGACAAGTCAGAGGATGAAGACGACTGGGATTTGATCCGAGGGGCGGATATCTTGGTGACTACGTATGACGCTCTTGAAAAGCCCAAAGCAGCAAGAAAGTTGCAGGATGTCACGTTTGCCCGAGTGGTGCTAGACGAGATGCAGGAAATCGCCTCGCCTACAACGAAAATCGCAAAGAATTGTGAACATCTTCAATGCGATCGGAGGTGGATGCTTAGCGGCACTCCAATCTACTCAGGCATCAAGGACCTCAGAGGGGAACTGAACATGCTACGACTTGAACCGTTTGGTGCCAATTTTGAGTAAGTTCGAAGGTCGGTGTGGAGTGGACGGAGAGGTCTGCGCATGGCATGTCGGGCCACTCACCCATCAGCATTCGTTTCTCTCGCTTTGCCACCTTGATAGTGATGGATTCTTTGATTTTGCCATCCAGACACCTTGGGACGCCAAGAAGCCAAGTGCTGTGGCTACACTACAGATACTGTGCTTGTTGGCCTTGCGGCGATCTTCGAGCATGACTGTGGAAGAAACAGGTGTCGGATTGCTGGACCTGAAGCCCCTCACTGTTGAATTTGTACCTGTCCCGCAGACCGTTTGCGAAAGGGCACTCTACTGCTTCATGGAATGTATTGTAGCTTCAGAGCTAGAGCGGACCAACAAGGCGACCAAGCGAACGAAGGCTGGCTCTGATAAGAAATCTCGCGCCTTGTGTTTACGGTTGCTGGTAGGTTTGTTACTTGCTCTTCTGGACCGCCCGCATGACCTTTCTAACTCTTCGCGCCTTTGCCTCCACAGCGTGAATTGTGCATCACTCCGATGCTGATCAATGGAGGGCTCGGCGTGTCATCTCAGCTCAGTGCCGTGAACCAACTCCTTATTCAGCATAATCGCCGTGAAATGGAAGTGTCTTCTGCAAAAAAGATCATCAACATGCAGGCTTCTTCAGCACGGAGGGGAGATGACACCACTCCGGTCATGTCGCCCGATCAGGCGCTACGCTTTCTGACTCAACACCAAGAAACCGCCCGCACAGACTCCGACATGGTGACAGAGATGGCAGTCGGAGGCTCTAGAGGGGCTTCTTATAGACATCGAGCCGTTGACCGAGCCGAAGATCGCTTCAGCGAAGCGAAACGTGATATTGCAGATGCCGAAGACTCCCTGTCCGCAGCAATCAAGAAACGTGCGAAAGCTCGGTGGCACGGGTTGCTCGAGCAAATAACCACAGGCCGTGTCAGTCACGGACGAAAGCACAAGTTCTCTGGACTTTGGTTGTGGCGACGGTGCACCCTGGCGTCTTTGAAACATTCGACAGCAGGGAAGGCGAGCAGCGGGAATGCAACCTTACCGGAGCTCTTCACTAGGGGATGGAGACCAAAGAAAGGTCTCGTGTCTACTTTGTTCAAGCAACACCCAGACTTCTACTGGTGTCATCCACACTCAATTCGGCTAAGCAATGTTCCGGGTGAAATCTCAGAGAAGGAACTTGCAGTGGCGATGCGGTCAGCAGCAACGCAAGTGCCTCTAGAAGAAATCGAGAAAGACAAGGTTGAGCATCGGCTTTCAAAAGAGAAGAACTCGCAACACAGAGACAAGGAATCACGAATCCAGGATCTCGAGGCAAAGTTGCAGACGATCAAAAGCAATATCGAGAGATTGCGGGCAAGTGACGAGAAGGTGCAGATGCCAAGTGTGGTGAAGGTTCGAGAGCGCAAACACGTGAAGGGTTTCTGGAAAGCTGTCGTTCTTTATTCGGACGCAGATGATTATGATATGGCCCTTTCGGTGTGCTCCCGCTCCGCTGGAGCCCCATTGAAAAGCGAGAAACCGATTCCACATCTAGAGGCTTTGGCCAAGTCCAGCAAAGAAAAAGTGGAGCAGATTGAGGCCGAGTTCAAGGTCCACCCGTCGCAGGACACAAAGAAACGCCTCGATGTGGCTAGGAAGGAGGCAGCGGCCGTCTCGTCTGGTCTCAGAATTGTGTCAGCAGCAAGCCGAATAGTGCTCCCCGTCATGAGTGACGAAATGAAAGATCAGGCTGGCACGGAACACTCCATGGTGTTCGCAAGTAAGAGTATTGGCGCGCTTCGATCGACGACTCCTAGATATGCCTCCACTTTGGATTATTCAGTCGCTGAAACAGTCCAGCAAAGTACTGGGGATGTCTACCAAAACAAGGCGACCGTGGTAAAGAAGCAAAAGGCATTGAAGAAGCTTGGACGCGCCCTTTCGACCCAGGTGTCTGAAAAGCAGACCGAAACGTCCGCATTTGGAATTCTCAGTGCCCTTATTGACGGCGACATCGAGAAGACTGGTTGCCCCATTTGTCTTGGTTACTTGGGCGAGGACGATTTAGACGAAGCTGCGGAGGCTGGCCGGAAGAGGAAGCACAAACAGGCTCCTATCACCATGGTACGCCTGGAATGCTGAATGAATCCATCACTGTAGTTTTGTGCCGTCTGCTTCCTTACCGATCATTGCCATTTCGAATCGTTGCTTTCCCAGATCAAGTGCGGCCATTTTTATTGCACTTCATGTATCTCGGGCTACATTCATGATAAACTTTCCTCGCATGGACAAGTTGTTTGTCCTGCATGTCGCCAGCCGTTCACAAACGACAGTATCTTCAGAATTGATCCTAGTTTGAAGGACGAACAAGAGGCATTGAAAAAGGAGAGGGAGGCTGCAAAAGAGCTCGTACGAGAAGCCGGCAAGCTATTATCGGACTCCAACGGCATTCTCGATGCTGAGCTGTGGCGCGCCCTCTATCTCAGCTTTGATTTACCGTCAGGTGTTGAACGATGTGGGGACTCGCGATTCACAGCTATCCCCAGAGAGGCTTTGACCCACCTTCGTGGTGCCACCGGCATGAAAACCAGCTTACGCAGAAGTGACCGACCTGCACCAGGATCGGTCAAAGGTGCCGGTAGGTGCTCAAAAATACAGGTGAGTAGTCTCGGTGCAGAATCCTCCAACGATGTGCCATTGAAGTCCTGACACTTCTTCCCGACGAAACACCGCAGCGTCTCTTGGAAGACCTCCAAAGCATCATTCCGAAGGAGCGTTGTGTAATCTTTTCCAGCAGTAAAGAGTGTCTAATGCACCTTGGTGCAATCTTGAAGGACGACAATATTGGTTTTCAGGCGATCTACAAGGGCCAATCTACTACGGCTTCGAGAACCGCTGTTACACGATGGGAACAATCCGCGGACCCGCTTCCTTCTCCTTGCTTGCTCGTCCAAGCTGGCGCCGCAGCTGCGGGGCTGACACTCACTGCCGCTTCCAAGATGTTTATCATGGAACCGTTTCAGAAGCAGGAGCAGGAAAATCAGGTATGGAACTTTGCGTTACGGCCACCTGCTTCGCCATCCTCTTCTCACGTTTGCGTTGTCCATGCAACTCTGTCTCCTACCCTGATCGTGCTTCAGGCGTATGCTAGATGCCATCGCTACTCACAGAAGCACAAGGTGTCGGTGAAAGTCTATTACACGCCCGTCTCCGTGGAGTCTCGTCTGTTGGACTGGCGGCGACAGGGCGGTAAAGTTGGAGAAGACCAAGAAAACGATGCGGATATGCGCGAGTTCCAGAAAAGCAAAACTAGAGTGATAATCCACGAGATCGAGGATGATTCGTCTGACGAAGGCTCTCTGGACGATTCTTCAGACACAAGAGGATCTGACAGCGAAAGCGAAAAGAAGAAGGAAGCCGATGACAGTCATGATATTGCGCAGACCAATTTCTTGCTTGGTCTGCTCGACTGATGCGGAAAGAAAGAGCTCAAGCGTGTATGGCTTGCAGCCACCTTGAGAGAATGCAATCCCACTAAACTAAGCCAGAGCCTCTTTATAATAGCTACAGATAGCCGGACATTCGGACTGCAGGATGCAACCACCGGTACCGGTAGCGAATGAACTCAGCCATGCTCGCTCCAGGATCCTTGGATCCATGGGTCATCCAATAGCCTAGCTAGACTACCTAAGGCGTCAAGGCTCTTTGCAGCATTTCCAATGTTCCGCAGCTTCGGTAGTCTCAGCGTCTCAGCGACCACTGAAACCTAGCTAGCTGGGTGACTCTTCATTTTTTTATTGATGACAATGCCCAATGATGGCCAATACGCCTCAACAACACTCTCGAGTTGTTCTTAGCGCACGGGCAGCACAAGTCTTCTCGACTACCGAAACTGCTTGTCGTCTTCCGGAAGCCTGCCCTACGCTTTCTTTTCTGGTTAGTTCATGGTACCGGTACTCCGTACGCTGAGTACTGAGTACTCCAAGAGCACTCAAGAAGTTATTACTGGCAGGAATGCGGCTTTGAAAAATAAATAATTAAACAATTGATGACGAAGGCTTGGGCAAAACTCAAAGAAAGAAATGATGGGTGTCTGTGTCTTTAATAATGGATTAACATCTGTTGGCCAGTAGCGACAGCTGTGGCGACTATCACCCGCACTTCGGATTCGTCACGCCAAAATGACTTATAACTAATGGAAAGGAAACCACCTTCTAGAAGGGAAAAGCTTCCTTTTCCTCAATCGTTGCCAGACTTATAATCCTAGTTTCCGAAGACAAGGAGGCACTGCCCCAGCGCTTCACTGATAAACATGAAGCTTGGCCAAAGCTTTTGTCTAAAAGTAAATCAAGAGTCATCAGATTCTTTCGAGCCATCATCCGTACTTTGAGTGGTCAGCTTGATCTTGTTGTGACGTTGTGAAGCTCCTTGTGACCTTGTGACCAGTTGAGGCTCTCTATTGTGACCGAGAAGCACAGCATGTGACCCAGATGGCTTCTGGAAAGCGGACATCTGTGCAGCCGGTGGTCGTTGATCTTCCAAGGTCCGGGAAGCCTTGATGGCAAGTTGATGCTCGACCTCCCATCAATCTATTCCCGCTGAGATTTGCTTCTGCTCCGTCAAAGCTCACAATTCCATCAAGCTCCAAAAAGCAAACGGCACCACTCCTGTCCTCGCCCTTTCTATCTACTTCTACTTTTTCTTTTTTTCCAAGTCAACCAATCGCAACAATGATGGATGGAGTGAGTTATTTCGAGACCGTCTCTGAAGTCGGCCAGAGCTGGGACAAAGTGAAGAGGATCCCTACCTACGATGAGATGTTCGGTGTGGCCCTTTTCGAACAGTAAGTGGATCTTGTCTGGTGGTGGTGACAGACATGCCTGGCAAACAGTGGTTTCTAATGTTGTTGTGGTTCTTCACTCGTCTCCTTCCAGGATGTATGAGATTGCCCCTGATGCATGGGGTATCTTCCCTTGGTCTGCGGAAGACATGAACAACAAGGACGAGAAGTTCCTCCAGTTCGCCAAGAAGTTTGTCCGAATGCTTGACGTTGCTGTGGATATGCTTGGTCCAGATATGGATGTCGTGGAAGGTCAACTGTATGATCTGGGTTCATTTCACAAGCGATATGGAGTCACTCCCAAGCACTACGATCTCATGGGCAAGTCATTAGTGCAGACGCTCAAGAAGGTGTTGGGACGCCGGTCGTTCACAGACAAGACCGACAAGGCATGGAGAGAGGTCTACTCATTCATGTCCATGACCATGATCCAAGGATCTGCTGGCATTTAAAAACACCTATTGCGTGCCAATCCATGGTGCTGTAATGCAATGCAATGCAACAGCAACCCCACTCTGTGAGAGTGGATAGGAGGACAGGGCCACTGAAGAAGCGGTGATATGATTTGTGGTCCTTTGTCGTTGACGTGTACAACAGAGCTTTTATAATAACTATTAAACAGAAAATCTACTAGAACTCCATCGAAAAGTCAGATGTATCATAGATCACTGCTTTGCCCTGCAAGGCTGAGCCAGATGCTGCCTCTCGCGCTATTAATAGCTAGAAGTAAGCTGAGCCACACTGCCACCGCATTTCATTAGCTATTTCGTTGTTCCTCGCTTCCTCCCAAGCACAAGAATGTGATGCAAAGGCTATAATAACCATGTTGGCAGTGGTTTGTGAACTGGACATTGGGACTTCTCTTGAGCTTTCAGCTCTCATCCGGTTACTACAGCAGTTGTGGCCTTGCCGAATGACAATTGATTGTCGGATATACGCACCCCTACATCGATCAATACTGTTTGGACAGCATCCTTGTGGGATTCTGTGACTTTGCACCAAGGACAAACCCCATTTCCTTCGTCTCGTACCCAATACGTAAAGTTGTATTTTGCTTCATTGTTGTTGCTGGACGGCTGCGCAATGGTCAGATTATAGTGTCCTCCACTCGATGGCAAATGTGCTGCATTGAAGGCTCCATAGATTTCCCAACAGGCATTGATGCACATGTTTTGGTACGATGGCTCCAACCAACTTGTGGTGGGGTTTTGCCAGTGCGCTCCCATGCCCATATAAGGCTGATCAACAACCAATCGGGAAACACGCGTCTGGTCGCCTACCACTCCCATGGTAAGGATCCACTGTGGAGTAATAATATCATCCTTGTTTGATGAATGCGGATTCTGTGTCAATAATTGAAATGAAGTGTACAAGGTTTCTCCAGGAAAAGTTGGATATAGCTTGCCATAGGCCGCATGTGCATTGGTTCGGTTGGAGGTAGCATTCCAAGTTTCAAAGAAATAATGCGCCCCAAAGACCCATGTATCATGATGCTTCCACGAGGGTTTGTAGTCGGGATATCCTGATGAGCCATCCAAAACATCGCCCAACAAGAGCTGGGGCACAAATTGGTTCATTCGACCCAATCCGCCGTCTCCAAAGAAAATGTCGGTCCACAAGTAGTATGTGATCCCATCCAACTTTCGTGGGTACTCTGGAACTGTCATTGTAGAGTGAACAAAGGTACCATTGATTCCATTCCAAGCGACAGGATACGAGGCATTCCCTCCTTGGTGGGGTCCGTTCTTCATGCCAACACAAATGCCACCAGCACATGGTGGGGATGTCAACAGGGGTGATCTACCGGCCAGAAAGCCGACGTGGTTCTCGCGTCGTTGGCGCATCTGCACCGACGCCTCGATGCAGTCATGAAAAGCCCATGATGTAGATAAACAGACACTACTAGTAGTCAGAAACACAGAGACCAGCCGAGACACCCACAAAAGCATTGTGAGGTACTGTTGCTTGTCAAACTATGTGTACTTTGTAATCATGATAAAAGCTTCAAAAGATACGGCCATCGCAAAATCAGATTCTGCAGTAGGGATAGTGAACAGGTCCCTTTCGAATTTTCGATTGAAGATTCGATTGAATCATTCACATTCGAAGCATTTTTTGCAAGTGTCTTCAGTTGGAACAGATTGTTCGAAGCTCACTGTGCCCAAGAGGAACTCAGACTATTTCAGGAACCACCGGTAGTCCCCCGTCAGCCGCGAGCTTGTGAGCCCTGACACTTCCGTACTCGTACCATACCGGCATACGTGTATTAATAGTAGTTTGGCAAGTAGCAGACAAGGTTTTCGTCGTCGTCGTCCTCCTCCACCACGCTCCTCTTCCCCGAACACTGCATTCTGCATTCCTGGCTTGACGTGCCTCACCCGAAGCTTTCTTGGATTGGCCACAGAAGGCAGCAAGAGATCAGAGTCTTTCTCCAGAGAGATGACCCTTTTCACGGGGGGGGGGGGCAACGGATATGATCTGAAAGGATCAGCAGACGTGCTACGGCAGATACGGGTAGCTCCTTTGATGAGTGCACAGCGGAATTGCTTGCGGCTGCAGCGACTCGAGACGATCGCCTCCGATCGCGGACGCGAGAACGACATTGTCAGCTTCGATGCCAGATTCAACGGTTCCATCAAACTTGCTGCTTCCATTATGGTGTATTGTTTCTGAGCAAGATTCTCAAGAAACATGACAAGGCCACGGAATCGATTCGAAACCCATAGCGCGTTCATGAAAATGCGGTGGAATCTCACCTTCTCAGCTATCCCTGGTTGGCACACAAAGGATTGAACAGGGCGAACGGTGGCTGTTGGATTGCTGCGATTTGCAAATCTGCGAGGAAGATAGTCATGTTCGCGCTCAAACGGAGGAAGCTGTTTGTTTTTGGTTACGATTCAGCAGATTAAGCAATAGTGATCGAAAGCAAAGTCTCTTAGAGTTGTCAGCGGAGCACCGTTGTGTACCGATTGAATCATTCTGTCGGTAGGTTTTTGTTGTGGGTTGCTCGCGTAACCAATTGTAATGCAGATTCACATTTGCTACATGGAGCTTGCTTTTCATGCATCTGGAGAATCTTGCAGTAGCCATCATGGTACAGATGAATATGTAAGTTCGCCTCTCGTCCTAAGATGACCGCCCGATCATCATGCCGTATTCACTAGATGGGCTGCTCAAATCGTTTGTTTGTAGGCATCAGGCGTCCCATGATTGCTGCGCTGCCCAACGAAGCTATTCATGAACGAATCGAATCGAATCGAATCTACATGAACGGTGGTGGAAAACTTGCACCAATGATTCAAGCAGCGGTGGGACAAACTGCTCAATTTCCCCAAAGAGTGGACGTACCAGATCCAGGATTGTCATACTGAGTAGATCATTTGGGCCAACTAAGATGCAACCAAGCAGTTCTGTTTCTTTCATCTCCTCAATACCTTCATTTCCTGTTATCCAGCCAAGAGGGTGTGGGATCGTGGGTCCAATGATCCAAACTCCTTCAAGTTACTACCGTACTATTAATAGTACCATCAGTATTATTTAAAATAGCTCCTCCATTTATCACCTTTTCATAAATCTTCAGGCTACGGTACGTGTATCAAAGCATATTTGACTTGACACATTCTTTTAAAAATCTGCTTCTCGGAACCAGTGAAAGCTGGTGGGATCGAGCCAGTCATGGCCTGTCGGCTTTTAGATCTCCTCGAGGCAATCTTTCTTTACAAACAAACAAAAAGAGGATCATCCACATCCTATAAAGAACTGGCTTGAGTGCTAGCTACAGTAGCTAGACCATGAGCAGCGCTCCCCGTTCTCCCACTCGATCTCGACCGAGCAGCAGCGCGGCTCAGTCTCGCAATTCCCGCTCTCCCAACCGATCGAGACCTGGATCTTCCACTGCCTCTGCTGCAAACGGTAGTAGTAACAATAAGAAAGACCCTATCAGTCGACCAGGGGCCTATTCTGTCACTCAAACGACGTCAGGTCCAGCACAAGTCCTCCGAGTACAAGTTCCTCAGGGTGTCCGTCCCGGCAGTGAATTTACAGTACAACATGCACGTCGATCCGTGCGAGTTCGGTGTCCCATTACTTCAGGGCCCGGCAAGACACTCCAAATCACAGTGCCGCCCGAGCCCATTACGGAACGCAAACGATTGATTGCTGCCAAGCTGACAGCAGCGGATGGTCCGGGTGGAGGAGGATGCGAAGAAATGACTACAGAAGTAGTCAAGAGCAATGAAAAACGAATGGAGAAATACCGAGAATGGCAAAAACAGCAAGAGATTTCCGGCAAAAAGGAGCCTCAGACAACTCCCACAGCAGCACCCCCACCCCCACCGCCATTGCCTAGTATCAGCGAACAGGAACAGGCTTCCAAATCACCCAAACGGGAACCCGAAAAACAACTCCAAAATAGCGCCACCAACAGCAATGATCGACCCAAAGCTTTTTTGGTCACTATTCCTCCCAATATTCATCCTGGAATGCCATTTACTATCGATGTGCAAGGCAAGCGATATGTCATCCCTTGTCCTCCCGATGCGGGGCCTGGAAAAAAGGTCAAAATTGTACCGCCCCGCAGTCGTGCCAATAGCAGCAGTGCTGGCAATAACAATAATGATTCTTCCACTTCGGTGGGAAATCGATCACGGGCCAACAGCGCTGCTAGTGTCAGCACCAGTAACAGTACCGCTCCCAATCGGTCTCGCGCCGATAGCTCGTCGTCGACGGGTGATTTGGAGGAGTTTTCCGAGTCTTCTGAAACGCCCATTCAGCATCAACAACCACAACCCAGCAAACTTCAAATGTTTGAAGTGCGAGTTCCCGCCGGCGTCGAACCAGGACAACCCTTTGCTCTGCTGGCCAATGGACAGCGGGTATTGGTGACTTGTCCACCCAATGTTCAAGTGGGACAAAAAATTCGATTCAATTTACCCGTCACGGCGCAGATGGTACAAAACATTCAACTCCAATACGAAAATGAAAAGGGATCTGGTACGTATTGCGCATTGTTGCGTTCACAATGCTATCTTGTATGCTTCTTTTGTATCGTCTTTTTTCATTCTGACAATTTATTGTGCGTCCTCTACTAGCCTCCGGGTGGTGTCGGACAATTCGGGTCTCGGATCTCAAGTTTCAATGGGTTCGTGTTACTAAACAGGCTGGTGCCAGCGAGAACAGCGATGACGAGAGTCCGTCGACATTGGATGAATCACGTCGCTTGTTGGATGTCAATGCCATGAATGATTTCAGTTTCCGCAAATCCGCCTATGGTCGTCATTTGACACTTCTCAAGGGAAATGACGCTCGTCTTCGAACAGGAATTCTATCCTGGGTGCCAGCCAAGGATGCCACGGTGGATTCCAAATTGGTTCTGCATCAAAAGGTGCTGTTGAGTTATGCCGATATTGCTGCCATTCAACAAAAACCATTTGCTGACAAATTAGTCTGGTTTGAGGAATCCCTATCCAAACTATTGTTGATCCCTTGGGAGGAAGGACACGTCAAAATGTATCTCAGACGAACGTACTTGTTACAAGACAGCGTCGATGCCATCATGGCACTCTCCAGGACACAATTGCGACAACGGTGGCGATTGGAATTCGTCAACGAACCGGCTGTCGATGCAGGAGGTGTTACGAGGGAATGGTTTCAATTGATTACCGAACAAATCTTTGATCCTAATTTTGGATTGTGGATGCCCAGTGCCAACAATCAGGCATGTTCCACCATCAATCCAACCAGTGGTGCGTCTTTTTCGTTTGTAATTGCCTCTGGTATTGTTTGTTGCTTCTGCTTGCTGACCTACGTTATGCTCTTCCGCCTTTCTCATTATGGCACCGTACCTTGTGCGCATGGGCTGGTGTACCGCCCTCTCCTTTGATCCGCCATCAAACGAAACGACTGGTTGCAATAATCAAACGAACTGCATACCCACAGAGATATCCTGCCCGAGCGACCATCTCATCTACTTTCGCTTCCTTGGCCGCATGATGGGCCGTGCCTTGTTGGATCGACAACTGATTCATGGGCATTTGGTGAGGTCGCTCTACAAACACATTTTGGGGTGGCCCATCACATTTGATGATTTGGCCGCACAAGACGAGGAATACTACAATTCGCTACAGGCTTTAACAGAAATGGACGAAGATACATTGGAAGCCCTCTGCTTGGACTTTACCGTGACAGAGGAACTGTTTGGCGCTCACCAGACGATTGATCTGGTACCGAACGGAGCCGACGTTGACGTTACCAAGGATAATCTGGTTGAATATCTGGAAGCCAATCTGCGCTATCACATGCTTGAACACACGCGCCCTCAACTGACAGAGCTTTTACTGGGCTTCTTTGATGTGGTGCCGGAATCAGTTCTAACAGTGTTCGATTCCCATGAATTGGAGCTGATTCTTTGTGGCCTTCCAACCATTGACATGGACGATTGGGAAGCCAATACCAAGTACGCAGGTCGGTTCAAAGACTTGGAAGAAAGGCACAAGGTTGTCAAGTGGTTTTGGGAGGTCGTTCGCAACGACTTTGACCAGGAAATGAAGGCCAGACTGCTGCAGTTTGTTACGGGGACATCGGGTGTGCCGAGCCGTGGCTTCTCGGTCTTGCAGGGGAATGATGGAAACATCAAGAAGTTTTGTCTTCAGGGGGTCGAGGGCAGTGTCCACAATTATCCTCGTGCCCAGTACGTTTTCCATGCTACTGTATGATAGTACGAGTTGTCTTTTGGGTTTTGAACCATCTCACGCATGCTGTCCCTCTTTTGCACCAGTACCTGCTTCAACCGTCTGGATCTTCCTCTTTACCAAGGCAAAGGTGAGCTGCGGTCGAGGCTCAAGACGGCCATAACATTGTCTGCCGTGGGCTTTGATATGGACTAAGTTAGTTGCCATAAAGCGGTCGGATTCAAAATTTGATTTGATTGGGTTCGATTAGGATAGATGACTGTAATATAGAGCCGGACTCACACTGACTGTCCGACTGTCCAAAGGGGGTAGAGCCCAGAGTTGTAAAACAGAGCACACTACAACATCATCCCAACATTTTCTTAGGCACGGCCATCGCCTAACGCAAGGAGTACAGCAGGTGCGATTGACATTCAGCCCCCGAGGCTGGGTAGAAAGCTAGCTCCTAATACCGCAGCTAGTAGATGCTGTGCTACGGGACGGCTACAATCCACCGTCTACCGATCTGTTGTCGCCAGCTGATCCTGTGTTTGATGCCGCCTTCGGGCTACGCCGGAGCTATATCATTTTATTTTTCTCCCGTAGGTTTCCCCGTTCGTGTTGCCATGGATAGCACACTGAACTCTTCTCGTCGCTCCTCTCCATGTTGCTCCTGTAGATGTGCACTCTCTAGCTAGCTCTTTCAATAATTATTTCAGCTTTGAAATTTTGGTCTTCATCTCCTTTGTGTCTAGCTAGCCGTTCAAGAGATACTCCACAAGCCAGTAGTTCTGTCCGTAGATGGGGAATGTTGCGCTTTCCAGTGACGTTACTCAAGGCGATGAGACCTTCCGCTGCATTGGTATAGTGTACCCTCGAGTTCGCGCGTGTTTGCCCAGCATTCTCCAGAATCATACCGGCCAACTACTCTACGCAGTAAAATGCCCGTCGAACTCAAATGGGCGCATGCGTTCCATGGGATGGGACAAATCACACTGCACGTCGAAGATCATCCACGGTTTTCAGACGCCGAGTTTGCCAATGACAATTCTACGCTGCGGGACGAATACAGCGACGCATTTTACGAAACGGAACTGTGGCAAGATCTACCGTATTGTGGACTACTCCCGATTACAATCTCTGGCAAGCGATGAATTACGACGCCGCCATTGCCTTTGGTATTGCGGCCTGTCAGGCACCCGGGCTCTTTACGGGTCCCGAATCCCGAACTCTATCAGACGCTGTTGAAAACTGGTGCCAGTTCATCGGGGATCTGTGGTACAGCGTATCTTGTACACATTTTCAAAGATCTATTTTGGCAAAAAGGGAAATGTGAAACTAGAAAAATGAGCTTGCAACTTGCGATTTGCGATTGGCACGGTACAGTACTACGTATTAGACAGCGGGAAATCCCAGACTGGACCGCTCCAAGAGCTGCTGGGTCAGCTATTGCTTGGACATTTGCTTGACAAGACGAAGACCTGATAAAGCAATCAAGTAGTGGCTAGCGGTACCTTCTCTGTATTCGCTGGCCATCAGCCAAAACGCCAATTCAGATCATGGGGCTATCCAGGAAGAACAAGACAATCCAACCACCACCTCCAGCTCAGGTTGCGACCAACAATGCTGTTCCAAGTAGGACAGGAGCCAAGTCTTCTGGAAAGAATTGGGGCGAGAAGGAGCGGAAACGAAAATGGGGTACCCAACATGGTGCCCATCCCTTTCTTCCCATGTGGCAAACGTCGCCCCAACAAAGCGAACCGGCAAGTGGTCGAATCGCGACAAAAGCCGGGCTCTCTAGAAAAAGTGTAAGGGCTCAAAACGACACAACCAACAGCACCGTGCAACCTGTTGCCATTTCGCGCAAAGCAGGACTCTCGCGTCGACAACATACCACGCCTCCAACAATGCTAACCAGCCGAGGCGACACAGAACAACTCGGTACCACTACCAGCACGACCGAGCCAGATATTGTTGTAATCCAGGAGGTGGTAAATTTTCCTCTAGATCATGTTGACGAAACACAATGTCAACAATACGCAGGCAACTCAACAATTGCGCATGAAGACACTGGCGGCTTGGTGAACGCCCGGCTAGTCTCGAGTGCCAGAGACCTGCCACAAGCCATCGAGGTGGACCCGCAAAGGAGACGTACGCTCGCTGAAGACGCTGAATGAAACAGGAAAACGTTGGTGGAAAGAATCTTCGTCGCAGCTTTGGTATTCGGTGGTGTTCTGTTCTTACTTATCGTTGCTATGATTGCTTATGTAGTGGCAAAACAACAATCTCAGACAACAACCGTCACGTCCAATGGCAACCATGCACCGTCTCCCCGTCACCACCCCCCTCAATCTCCCACCGGTAGTACCTGGAACTTCCTGCCAGCAGCAACAAAATGGACAATTTTGAATGACACTGCGTCAGCACAAGCGCTAGCACATAGGTGGCTTCTTGACGATCCCAACCTGGAAACACTTCCAGAAGCCCGTCTCCAGCAGAGGTATGCCTTGACAACTTTGTACTATGCAACACAAGGGCCAACCTTGTGGACAAACAATTCTCATTGGCTGGATTACAAGGTGGCAGAATGCCATTGGTTTCACGCAAACACCCATCCATGATGATGAAGAAGGCGTGTCAACTCCCGTACTCAACCCCTGCGACCACAAAGGAGACTACACGAGATTGAACCTTGCTGGCAACAACCTAAACGGCACTGTCCCTGCTGAAATTGGTCTACTGACATCACTGGTGGAGATCCATTTGGAAGACAACCAAATCTGGGGAAGTCTTCCCTCCCAGATTGGCCGTCTATCCAAACTGGGCATTCTTTCCATCCAAAACAACACCATGACACAGTCACTGCCTACTGAGTTAGGACAGCTGTCTTTGCTGAGTCAGCTACATTTGTTTGATAATGAATTTCAAGGAGAAGTACCCTCAGAAGTTGGCCTACTGACCTATCTGACTCAACTTCACCTGCAACGCACTCAAATTGGTGGACAACTTCCAACAGAACTGGGAAACTTGGTTCGTCTGGAGGAGTTCTGGACCTGGAACACAAACTTTTCTGGTACACTACCTTCCCATATGGGTCAAATGGTCAGCTTGTCGTCTCTTGCCATGCACAATGGAGAGCTGCGAGGGACCATCCCTACAGAGTTTGGTCAGCTGACCAATATGGACTTGATGCAGATTGATGGCCACTTCTTATCAGGAAGTATTCCAACAGAGTTTGGCCAGCTGAAGAAGGTGAGGCTGCTCACATTTGGATCCAACAGCCTTAGCTCAACCATCCCCACAGAGCTAGGTCTGTTGTCCAAAGCTTTGGGGGTGTTGAGATTCTTTCAAAACGAATTGACAGGAAGTGTTCCAGCAGAACTTGGTCAACTGTCAGTTCTGCAAAGATTGGAACTGGATGGAAACAAATTGACCAAATCTATTCCCGCCCAGTTGGGTAGATTGGAGTACCTGGTCAGTTGTTCCTGGCTAACAACCAATTTACAGGCTTCCTCCCCAGGGAGATAGGAACCTTGCCTTACTTGAAAGAAATCACTCTCCAATACAACCCCAAGCTTAGTGGGTCAATACCTGCAGCATGGGAAGAGCTGGGTAGTGGATCTTTGAGAAGCTCTTCTTGACTGGAGTTGATATCACTGGGACTATTCCCTCTGGGTTATGCATTCTGGATCGACTTGCTATTGACTGTGATGACAACATTTGTGGCTGCGAATGTGGAAGTTGTATATGAGGCATCTAGAGACCGAGGATATTACCATGGAGACCTTCCTAGCTACTGGTAGACCGACATTATGCCGGAACAACCAACAATGGCTTCGTTGGGACGCCAGTGTCGGGCCTGGTATACGTTTTCTCTGGCTGGAGAACGGTTGGAACCAACTGAGCACAGCCGCCCCACTGGTGTTTGACGAGAGCGTTGACGGCAGCACGACCTACAACAGAAACCTCTGGGAGTTTTCCACCTCTGATCCTAAGAACCTCTGCGTTTCTCCTCGCCTGCGGCACTTCGCTAGCTAGCTAGGAGAGCACCACTAGTAGGCAGACTTCCTGTTTACGACAACTGCCCTACTAGCTTATTTGTACGATACTATTTTTGCAACGAGAGCACGGCAAACGCAGGCCACAAGCTGACATGACTGGCGCTATGAGGAGGGAGCAAAACTCCACGCGGAATCGGCCGAACTCTCCTGCACCGCGGATTGCATGCTGCCTCCTATGAGTCAACTGATGTGTGCGTGGCTAGCTGGCTGGCCATAGAAGGGGATAAGTAGATTGTTATAAGCAATTAGCTGCAAGTTGCTTTATCGGGCTTTCAGGTGCCCTGATTTGGTTCATGCGAGATAGAAGCCGACAACTGAGGGATGACCTGCCCGATATCATAATGGTAACTTGACGACGGGGTGGCAGGTGACCATACTGCAATTTCCGCACAGTTAGCTGTGTCGCCAGAATTGGTGCCAACCACAGTTGCCAGTTGCCAGAATTGGTGCCAACCACAGTTCCCAGCATATGAATGAGCACGGCCTCCCCTTTAGGAGGCTAGGGTACTGTTCTTCACCCTGCTGATCATGAAGACTGCAAATATGATAACGACCACAAAGAATGCAGCACCGACGACGTACTTCACTTTACTTTTGCAGGGATGTTCGACCTCTGCCTCTTCTTCTTTTAACACTGCCTCCTCATCCACTGACTGGAGCCTGTGAACTTGCAACATGCTTGGGCGGAAGCTGGGGTCTGTTTATATTCCCACAGCCAGGGGAGTGAGAATGAAAGCCGCAGCGGAACAAGATACCACCCAACGGCAGCGAAGACGTACCATCGTCGAGACATTCAGTGTGGCTGTTGTTCGAGCTGTCCATATCATCCTTGAAGGGCTTTGAGGTCATGGTGATGCTTGTTTTCTGCTTTGATGTCATGGTGATGTTTTTTTTCTCGGAATCTGCAGGACGTGATCAGGTATGCCAAAAAAGGAGTGAATAAAGAGTGGGGGAAAAGAGCGGAAGCTGGAGGAGCAGCTTCACTCATCATCAGGAGGGAAACGTGCACTGTTGCCGACTATCTGCCACACTCCTATCCGGGGTAGAAGATGGTAACGATGGCTCCGGAGTTCAAGTTGCGAAAACCAACAAGAAGAACGAGAATCTTGGGGTGTCAGCAGCACGGTACTGTTTCTACCTGGGTCCAGGTAAGCAAAACAAGCGGCTTACAAACCATATAAAGATCAGCTGAAGGCTCGTGTCAGGTTTAGAGCTTCACTGGTTCTTCTATCTATCTGGGACTGTCTAAATGTTGAGATGTTGAGATCAGTGCTAAGAATAAAAAAGCTATGACTCCGATGACCGGGAAAGGGACGGCTTACCGGGACAAGAATTATTAATTAAGCTCTCGTTTGCAGCCGAGATCTGTGACATTCTTTATTTATATGTTCCGTTGCTCGGAGTACTCGGGTATACTATGATGTGACCAAGATTCATCGGAAAGTGGGTAATGATTACATAGGCGAACACCTGAAATCTGCGATAAATACGACATTCACATAAGTTCTGAAAGTAGAGTTTAAAGCAGCCCCAAGCCCCAGCCCCACATTGGTGTACCGGTAGATGCTGGGATGTAGGACAGCAGAAAGTGTCTTTGATAATTATCTGAAATCGAGATGTTGGACATCACTGAGGACTGGTCCTATCCAGCTTAAATGACGTCCGTTCGTTCGCGAAATCGAAATAACGGCTCAATTTCCTCCAAATCCACACGTTCGGCGAACCGCAGAAAATGTTTATAGTAAAAAAGTGGAGCTGCGGTTCGCCGAACGTGTGGATTTGGAATTCGCGTAGGACCAATCAGAACTCATTATCTCGCACTATCCCCAACTCTAGCGAGTTTCGAAAATCAGAACTCATTATCTCGCACTATCCCCAACTCTAGCGAGGGTACCGACAAATTGATCCCGCTCTATGACAATTTCAACTTCTAAGCCAGTCAGTGCCGCATTCGTGTGGAAATGGCCTTCACCCTAACCCTGCTGAGAGTTCGGGAGAGTTGGGCTTATTCGCGAATGACGTATCTGCGAATGGTTAAGAATGAAAACACATACGCGAAAATAAATGTGTTTCCTGTGCGAACGTACGAACCACATGAATGTGGTTAGGACCAGCCCTGATAAATCAATTCCTTTTGCTAGCTAGAACCTGGTTCGGTCACATTGTACCGGTACGCTTTCCTTGCCTCACGATCTCTTCTTATCTACACGTAGTACACGGGCTGGCTACCGCTAGCTAGTAGAGCTACTGACGTAGAATCGAAGATTTAGATAATTTATTGGAGCACTACCGGTACATGCATTTGACCATTGTGTTCGTGCGGAGCAATGCCAACTGCCAACCGGAACAGAACAGTTGGCAACAGGGATCCAAACCCCTTTTCTGCAGCTGCCCTTCAGGCTCGTAAATTCACTCATTTCACTCCTTTGTGGTATACCTGATCACTTGCAGCAAGCTCTTTCAGAAAACAAGCATCACCATGAGCTCAAAGCAGAAAACAAGCATCACTATGAACTCCAAGCCCTCCAAATATGATACGGACAGCTCAAACTGTAGCCTCACATGCTGTCTCGAGGATGGTAAGTCTTCCCTGCTTTGGGGTATGATCTTGTTCCACTGTGGTTTTCATTCTCACTCAGATTTCCCTGGCTGTTGATTACACACAGACCCCAGTTTCCGTCCCAGCATGTTGCAAGTTCGCAAGCTCCAGTCGGTGGATGAGGAGGCAGTGTTGAAAGAAGAAGAGGTTGAACATCCCTGCAAAAGCAAAGCAAAGTACATCATTGCTACAGCCTTCTTTGCCGTCTTTATTATATTTGCAATCTTAGCGATCCACTGGGTTAAGAACAATACCCTAGCCTCCTAAAGGCGAGGCCATGATCATTCAAATGCCGGGAACCACTGTCTTCAGGATGGTCATCCACTGCCCCCTTGCTCAAGCTACATTAAAACAACCCGCATGTCATCACCCTTAACTTGCAGGTTCTAACTTATAAATTCCACTTATCACCTACTACCAGTTTGTCCAGCCAGCCAGCCAGCCATGCACCCTCGGTGGGCTCATAGGAGCACGCAAACTACGGCCTCAAACAAGCCATTGTTGGTTGTTCCGGCATAATGTAGGTCTACCGGTAGCTAGCTTGGAAGCTCTCACAGATTGTACCCTTGGACTCTAGAAACCTCATATACAACTTCCACAATCGCAGCCACAGATGTTGTCATCACAGTCAATAGCAATTCGCTCCAGACTGCATAACCCAGAGGGAATAGTCCCAGTGATATCAACTCCAGTCAAGAAGAGCTCCTCCAAAGATCCACTACCCAGCTCTTCCCATGCTGCAGGTATTGACCCACTCAGCTTGGGGTTGTATTGGAGAGTGATTTCTTTCAAGTAAGGCAAGGTTCCTATCTCCCTGGGGAGGAAGCCTGTAAATTGGTTGTTAGCCAGGAACAACTGGACCAGGTACTCCAATCTACCCAACTGGGCGGGAATAGATTTGGTCAATTTGTTTCCATCCAGTTCCAATCTTTGCAGAACTGACAGTTGACCAAGTTCTGCTGGAACACTTCCTGTCAATTCGTTTTGAAAGAATCTCAACACCCCCAAAGCTTTGGACAACAGACCTAGCTCTGTGGGGATGGTTGAGCTAAGGCTGTTGGATCCAAATGTGAGCAGTCTCACCTTCTGCAGCTGGCCAAACTCTGTTGGAATACTTCCTGATAAGAAGTGGCCATCAATCTGCATCAAGTCCATATTGGTCAGCAGACCAAACTCTGTAGGGATGGTCCCTTGCAACTCTCCATTGTGCATTGCGAGGGACGACAAGCTGACCATTTGACCCATCTGGGAAGGTAGTGTACCAGTAAAGTTTGTGTTCCAGGTCCAGAACTCCCCCAGACGAACCAAGTTTCCCAGTTCTGTTGGAAGTTGTCCACCAATTTGAGTGCGTTGCAGGTGAAGTTGAGTCAGATAGGTCAGTAGGCCAACTTCTGAGGGTACTTCTCCTTGAAATTCATTATCAAACAAATGTAGCTGACTCAGCAAAGACAGCTGTCCTAACTCAGTAGGCAGTGAATGTTCCATGGTGTTGTTTTGGATGGAAAGAATGTCCAGTTTGGATAGAAGACCAATCTGGGTGGGAAGACTGCCCCAGATTTGGTTGTCTTCCAAATGGATCTCCACCAGTGATGTCATGAGTCCAATTTCAGCAGGGACAGTGCCATTTAGGTTGTTGCCGGCAAGGTTCAGTCTCGTGTAGTCTCCTTTGTGGTTGCAGTGGTTTAGTATGGGAGTTGACAGGCCTTCTTCAGCATCATGGATGGGTGTTGTGTGAAACCAATTGCATTCTGCCATCTTGTAATCCAGCCAATGTGACTTGTTTGTCCACAAGGTTGGCCCTTGTGTTGCATGGAACAGAGTTGCCAAGGCGTACCTCTGCAGGAGACGAGTTTCTGGGAACGCATCCAGGTTGGGATCATTCAGTAGCCACTGGTATGCCCTTGCTTGTGGAGAACTAGAGTTGCTTTGGATTGTGTCCAGTGTCCATTGGGGGATCCCTTCCACGATGGGCAGTGTTGGTGCCAGTGTCTCGGAGGTATCTTTCTGCTTATACGATATTGATTGTGATTTTTGTCGTTGCTGCGATCGCACAATGAGCCCCACGGCCAGCGCAACAAATATGATGATGCCTACAATCACCAGCACTCCCACCGACCAGACGAGTCGTCGACGTTTTCGTTCTTGTTTATATTGCTCGGCTGGTGCGGCCGGTGTGGCAATGGATAAGGTTCGACCACGTTCTTCGTCGTCATCATGATCTCCTTGTTCGACCGGTTGTGCTTGTACCAATTCGTCATCGCGCACGGTACGACGAGCACTACTGGAGGGTTGCGATGGTAAGTTATCCTCTCCTTGCGAAACGGTGCGACGATGATTGTAGGATGGCAATGTCCTCGATTCCACAGGTCGACTCCGAAATTCCTGTTTCCAATCCGATGGTGTTCTTCGAAACCCTAGTCCCGGAGATCCTTCGTAGGCTCCCGGTTCAATGACCAGCAGACTGGTCCGTGATTGTCGTTGGGGGTGTGGAGGAGGCGGAGGCGTGCGGTCGTCATCGTCTTTTTCGCTGGGTTCATCGTGAAAAATTTCTCGTTGGTGGGACGCTGCCTTGGCCGCATACAGTTCGGCCTGTTCTTGTTGTTCTCTTCGCAGAGATGCTTTCATGTCCACTTCCACTTCGGTTGTGCTAATATTAATATCATCGTTATCATCATCAACATCATCGTTGTTGGTAGTGCTGGCAAACACAGTCTGCCGCATGACCTTTTCCCGTCGTTTCAAAGTAGAGTTGGCCGAATTGTCTGCCATTAATTGTCGTTCATCACCGTCAACTTTCTGGGAATTGTCGCTTTTGTTGTTGTTCCTTTTTTGGGCAGTACGGTTACCAATATCAGACCGGTAGGAGGAGCCGCTAGTAGTAGACCGACTTCTTCGACTGCCGGACGGTCGTGGATTCTTCTTCTTGGCGGCGTACAACTGAGCTTGTTCCTCTTGTTCTCTGCGCAAGTCATCCTTTAACCGTTGATCCGCAGCAATATTACTGGAATCATCCTTGTTGTTGGCAAATACAGTCTGCGCCATGACTTGTTCTCGTTGTTGTACCAGAGACGCGTCGACCGAGGGGATACGATCCCGCGCTGGCTCCATGGCGCGGTTGGGGGCTCGTAGAGGTTGATCCGTACTGGTGGCTCGTTCGGGTTGCCGTGGCAACTTGTTGTTGTTGTTGGAATTGGAATGAGCTGTATGTTGGTGGTTTCGACTTGTACTTTGACCTTTGGACGAGGAAGTGTTGCTTCGCTTTGCCGTTTTTTGCGATTTCCCAGTCTCGCTTGCATTATTATTAGCTGGGTGGGGAGCGTATTGAAAGGGCTTGTCTTCAGCAGCTCCGGCTAGAAACGGGAGCAGATCGGGTGATGACATGTTGCTCTTTGTGGTTTTCTGTCGACGTGTCCGTCCCGCAAAGAAAGAGGCTCGGCTCGGCTGTGTCTTTCGTCTTCTCACTGATGGGACGCTTGATTGGTCTCAGGGTCTTACTGATTGATTGTCACCGACTAGCTAGTAGCTATTAATAGTGTTGGATTACTATCGGCAACTGTGTTTCGCCTCTTGCCACCCAGCTAGCTAGTACTAGTACCGGTAATGGAAGATGATGAGGTCTGATGATGAGCTGTTGCATGATGCTGTCTCTGTGGCTGTGTTGCATGGTTGAACTTGGTTCACTTTGTAAATGGTTTTCATTTGAGTCGATCGTGAGCGACGAGTCACGACTTATTGCCTGGGTTGGGGGGAAGCCGGAAGAACCCTTTTTTGACACAGAGGCCTTTTTTAGCTTTGGCAAGATTGGTCGTTTGCCTTTGCTTCATGCACCCAGTCCAGCTTCTTCTCCCCATCCAGACATCCAGACATCATGGAAGCTGGGAACTCTTCATAGACTAAGTGACTGCCAGAGCAGTAGAGCAAGCTACTAGCTAGCATGTAGCTAGAGTACTGGTGTACCGGTACAAGGCACCTGCCACTCGATTCGGATCAATCCAAGCTAGCAAGCGACGACTGAAGATAGGACCAGCCAGCAGGAGTGAGAGATGCCACCACCTGCGATAAAATCATTCTGCCATATAAGAAGCGGGTAGAATGATACAATATCGGTAGCTTCGTTCGTTCTAGATAGTTGCCGCCTTCATGCAGTGCACATCAGAGGGGCGGACCAACTGGCCACACAGAGGGGCGTCTCTTGGTCTGCAGGAATTAGGAAGAGAGGAGTGGATCCTGCCTCAGGTCTCATTCTTCGCTTCCGCTCGGCTTATTTTGGCCCGCTCACGGTACATGCACATGTACCGGTACTCGTACCTACTAGCTAGCCAGCCTGAGATGTTGCAGTCGAATGATTCAATCTTCCCAGCTCTACTACATGTATGATGGCCTCTCTGACTGTCACTCACAACACCACCGTTCTTGCCAGAAGACAGCTCCAGTCCGAGCGCACACTTCCACCATGCCAGTCACAGTTGAAAGTTACGTCTGAGTGATGGAATTACTGAATACCAGTCAAAAGTTCCTAACTCGATAAACCACCTGCTCTAAACCCCCGTTTGGACTGAATACCATCAAACACAATTAAGCTTAGTTTTAGTATTTAGATGTCTGTGAATGCCTGGCGACAAAGTGTTGCTGCGTTGCGGGCACTGTGTTCACGTCTGATCCACTTATGCCTGGCTCTAAAGCGTTGCTGCGCTGTTGGTACCGTACCGTGCGCGAAACCAAAAAAGTTGGTGGTGATCATCGCTCCTTTCAAGCAATTGCTTCATTGGAGCAATTGGAGCTTTCATTTTTTTTTCTCCAGGCAAAATCAAAATGGGACGAGTGACAACCGAAGGTAATGTGTCTGGTGGAAAGTACGCCACCGCTGTTGTGGGCGCGGCGGAAGAAACCACAAAAGCCAGGGAGAAGTCGATCGGTGACAAAGATGCTCTGTATTCTCACGATGAGGAACATCTCCCAACCAGTGTGCCTTCTGAGGATCTGCCACAACACAATTACAGACTGGATGATAGGGGATTGCGAAACATAGAATACGTGTTTCTTTTCGTTATGATTCTTGCCCTGGTGACGATTGTAGTGACCCTGGTATTGGTATTTGGTCTGCAAACAGGAGCAGACACAATCATTTACTTGCCTCGAAATTCTCCTGTGAAAAGGGACCCAAACTCCGCTTCGCAGCAATACGCAAGTGATTGGCTTGGAAAGCTTGCAAACCGACAAAACCTGCCGGCCTGGAGACAACATCAACTTTTCGCCCTGGCAGCAATCTATTATGCTCTTGACGGGCCCAATTGGTTGCATGGTGTTGGACATACTTGGCTAAACGAATCTAGATCAGAATGTCTCTGGTTCTCAAGCTTGTATGGCAGATTTGAAGGCGGCTCCTACATTGAGCATTCCTACCAGAACACGTCCAATGTCGTGCTCAGTGTTTGTAATGATGCAGGCAAATATCAAACCCTTGATCTGCGAAGTGTCTTTGATGGTACTCATGTTGCTGACTTTCCAAATGAAATTGCTCTGCTCACATCCCTAAAGTCCATCTTTTTGGAAGGGGCCGGGGGATTCAAGGAACCCTTCCAGTCCATGTTGAAGCCAACCATCCTGCACCTTGCAGGCTCTCTGGAGGCTTTGAGTCTACAAAACAGCATGGTGCACGGGGAGATCCCCTCTTTGATTCAAAAACTGACCAATCTGGGAGTGCTTGATTTGAGTCATAACAAACTTGGGCAATCAATCCCCCCGTTGATTCGAAGACTGACCAATCTGGAAGTGCTTGATTTGAGTCACAACAAACTTGAGCAAAGGATCCCCCCCTTGATTGGAAAACTGACCAATCTGGAAGTCCTTGATTTGAGTCATAACCACCTTGGGCAAGCTATATCATCAGGAATTGGTCTCCTGACAAATCTCAAGTACCTGAAACTTGGGAACAACAGCTTTGTTGGACAACTCCCCTCACAGCTGGGTCTTCTCACAGCCCTGAAAACTCTAGATGTGACATCCAATTTGCTGACAGGCCAGATTCCTTTGGAGATCACTACCTTGCAATCAGAACACAGCTTGGAGGTGTTTTTGGCTGATGGCAATCAATTTGAGTAATCCTCTTGTTTGATGGAACCAGGCCTTTAGCCACCCAGAATTGTAGTTTGGATACATGAGTTCTTATTAATGTATTGAGTTTAGCATTTGTCTAATTAGTACTTCGTGAACGGACTGCCTGACTACCGGCACTTTTAGGAAATGCTGGCAAGCTACTAGCTACTAGCTAGCTTTTAGCTGGTTTGCAGCCAAACAAGCTAATTGACCTGATTTGGACATTCAGACTAGCTACTACCTGGTACAAGTTTGATACCTAAACACTTTCAGCCGTTGTAGCATTTTTATTGGTATCCTTGTAAAGCTCTCCAACTCCGTGCTCCGTGGTCCATCATTATCAGATCTGCATTCTTTTGAAGCTGGGAAGCAACGGCAAGCAAGCACATGAACGCCCCACCCTCAAAACGGCCCAAGTTGTCTATTACTAGTAGTAGAAGCAACGATGATGAGGACTTTGGTTTATCGGAGGAAGCCGCTAGGCGACAGATTGCAGGTCTTCTCCAGAACTGCTACCGTGCTGATGGGCACCGAAGAGTGATGTCGCTGTTGCGTAAATTTCCCTCACTTGCCGCCAGGAAGTACTGGTATCAGTATCATGGACGAGACCATGTCTATCCCCTTGTGTATCTGCTACGATGCAGAGCACCGATATCGATCGCTGCACTCAGGGAAATGTGTCAGTTATACCCGGCAGCCATGACCTCTTTTGATGCAGATACCCTTCACAAGGCACGTTTCTTTAGTAGTGCGCCGAATCCAGCCATTCAGTTTGTGCTGGAAGTATGTCCACACGTCGCCACACAATGTTGCGTCAAGCGATACTATCCTATTCATATGCTGCTTCAGAGGCAGCGGATCGACCATGTAACAATCCGGAAACTATTGGATGCTTATCCCCGAGCTATCTTGAAGGATCCCAACTGCATTGCACTTGCCATCGCCAATGGCTACAGCATGGCTTGTTTTGAACTGCTAGTAGATCGATGGGCTGCCGCAGTGTCCAGAGTCAAGAATCGCAAAAAGGCTCAATCGTCCCTAGTCGTGAAGAAAGGCAGCTATTTGTGCCTAGCCAAAGCCGAACTACTTGCCGAAAAGATTCTTCCTTGGCTCACCTCCGTGGTGTTCGCCGGCTTGGAAAGTTATGCCCTCTTTCGGATTCTCGAGTCGTTGAAAACGAGTCGGTCCATCACGGAGGTCAGTTTGGGCCATGTGAGATTGACTGGTCCCAGGGATACTGAAACGAATCAGAGTCGGCGGCAACAACTGGAACAGGCATTGGAGCGCTTGTTGGTGGAAAATGCGACCATTCGTCGTCTCACGCTGGATATGGGGCAGTTCAATACGTCGTTCTTGGCATTGTTCAATACTCGTCGACAGAGTCGAATCTGCCGCCTTGACTCTTTGGAAATCACATCAAATGAAGCCGTATCTGCGCGAATATTAAGTACTTGGCTGCAGGAAGCTATTCGTCTGCCAAGACATTTGAGGCTGCACATTGGCTCGTTGAGTGGCCGTTGGCACGAAGATTCACTCAACAATCACCGAGCGGCTGCCCAGTCGGAAACTAGCGGCCTGAGAGATTTGACAATTGTTGTCATGAGACCGTCCCGGGCTTTTCCTGGGTTGCTTTCCTATCTCCAGACCCAACAGCCACTGGAACGCCTGACGCTACGACTACCTCTTTCTTCCGAGGAATCTGACGCACTGACGGAAACGATAGTTGTGCTACTCCGCCGGGACCGCCTGAAAAGTCTTGACTGCTGTTTTGGTCCGATAGATCCGGCAAGATTTGGAATGGCCCTGAGGGAGAACACTAGTTTGAAGGAGTTGACAATATCCACGGGATCTACTTGTGATTTGTCCTGTGCTGTCGCCGATGCTCTCACACACCATAACACGACTCTACAGGAGGTGGACTGCGAAGGCTCCGCAAGCGACAAAATTGACTACTATTCACATCTGAATCAGTATGGACGAAGGGAAGCACGGAACAACGGCACTAACAGGGAAGAGTTTGTGTCGTTGCTCTGTCGTGTTACCGAAGCGAGACGACAATCACTCCAGGGAGACGTCGTTCGAGTCACCGGGAGTGAAGAGACTGATCTACTGTTTGGCCTCCTTCTGGAATCACCAGTGGGGACTTGGTGTTAGTGGTTTTAGAGAAGTTCAACAACCCCAGCCGACAACAGATTATATAATTCATTTACTGTTTGTGCTAAGGTCAAAAAGACAACAACCCCGCCATTGCACAATTGGGCTTCGAAAATATCGAACATAGTTTTTGAATCTCAATACTGGCTCGGTCTCCTCATCACAGGGAGCACTTCGCCACTATGGTACATCACCATGCCCCACAGGCAGACTCTGCCCTCAGTCTTCAATCATGAGAAGTCCCTTGAGGTCGCGAAGACGTGAACGCCGCTGTTCCTCTGGCTTCAACTTTTGCAAAGCACCCTTGGATTGAAGGCTCTTGGCCTCCTGAAGCTCCACGATCCGCTCCTCCAAGGAATCCTTCATGACAAATCGGTGGACCGTTACGGGCTTCGTCTGGCCAATACGATGAATCCGGTCCACTACAACGAAAGTTTGCAGAAGAAGCATGAGATACGGGCACCTTTTGCATTGACAAGAAACAAAGACTTCGTGATTCGGAACTCACTGGCTTGCTCCTCTATGGCAGCATTCCACCAAACGTCCATCATACAGGCGTGGGTTCCACGTGTGAGGTTGATTCCAGTCCCAGCCGCGTGCAAACTGGCTAGGAAGAATCGAGGAGAATTGTCCTCGTCGGATGAAAAGTCGCGGACCGCATCCGACCGCTTTGCCGCCGACATCGAACCATCCAAACGCACAAACGTATGACCAGCTTCCTCCAGGGCCTGCCCGATGAGCGTCAAGAACGAAGTGAATTGGCTGAAGATTACACCCTTCGAATCAGGCTCCATGGATTTGATGGTTGCGAGAAGAGCTTGGATCTTTGGAGACTTGGCAATGGAGTCATCATCGATGGGGATTTTGTCGTCTCCGTCCTTTTCTTCTCCCTCGGTGGATGCGGCCTTGGAGGCATCGCTCTTCTTGATCATGTCACTCTTTTGGAAGCCCTTGCGACAGAGTGGACAGTTGGGGTTGGCCGAGAGGACCTTTGCAATGCATTGATCGCAGAAGACGTGGGAGCAAGTTTTGAGAATCACGCACTGAGACTCCTCCATTTCCGTAAGGCAGACAGCACATTCGGGCAACTCTGCCAGTTCCGAAAAGGCACCTTTCAGCTTCTCCAGCAGTTTCAAACCTTCTTTGGCGGTCAGCTGCTTGGACAAGTCCCGTTGTTGCAATTCCTTCCAGATCAAAATGGCTCGCTCTCGGTGCTCCATTGGCACCAACTTGGCGGAGCAACATGCCTGACGCAACCGCATCAGCTTTGTGAAAATGTGTGAATACTGGCCAAGTACGGCGTTTTCACCGTCCTGCAACACGGCCTGAAACGCCATTTTGACGGTACCAAACAACGCGTCGTAGACTTCCTTGTGCGCTTCGGATCCCTCAAACGAGACTCGGTTGAGTTGGACCGTTTTTTCGGTGAGCTGCACATTGGCGGTGGCTTTGGAGCGACGAAGCGCAACATGAGACATGGCAACCCGCAGGCATGCAAGTCCGGCATCGTCTCCGCGCTGAATGGGGACGGAAATGGCGCGCTGAAAGATTTTCTTGTCGCCCAGTGGTTGAACACGCAAGAAATGAAGCAATGCATGCACGTCATCGCACCGGTTGATAATGGGACTGCCAGTCAATGCCCAGCGGCTCCGAGCGTCAAGTTGGCTGCATGCATGAAAGACTCGGGTTTTGGTGGATCGGATGGTGTGTGCCTCGTCCAACACCACACGATGCATTTCCTGATCAAAAATGGAGTTCACCTTTCGTTTCTTTGTGGCGGGCCCCTTCCCGTTTGGTTTTCCAAAGACTTTGGTGTAATCGCTGGCCAGAGTGTTGTAACTCACGAGCAAGACATTGATGGCTCCACTTTTGATTTGCGGGAGAAGGTTTCCTCGCGACGGTCCTTGGTAAATTCCCACGCTGAGGGCACCCTCTTCCACATGCTGATGTGAAAGAAGAGAAAGCAATAGTTTTGAGTGTCTCTTTCCGACCACATGCACACAAACAAATGTTTTGGTATTTTTTATGACACGCACCATCCCAATTTGCTGCTCCCAATTGGCCATGACACTGACAGGACAGACAATAAGCGTACATTGGGGAGCAGTTGCCGTGGCGGGTGGTGCCGCCAGGATGAGACTGATCATTTGCAGCGTCTTGCCCAATCCTGTGAGAAGAAAAAAAGATGGAAATCGTCCATGAGAGCTCTATCGAGTAAGTTAATTGTCGTGCGATGAATGCATAAAGCAGTAAATAACCTACCCATTTCATCACAGAGCATACCACCACGGAATGGTTTGGGTTCTTCTGCCTGCGACGAGTTGGAAATGCTGCAATGCCAGACCTGGCGTCCTTGTTCTTTGCGTTTCTCATAGAAGGGCAATTTGGGCTGCGTATCTTGACGGACCAGCCAACCAAGTCCCGTCTGCTGATACTCCAACAAGGTCGTCTGGAGCTGTGAGGGAGTCGACACCGCGGGCAAATTGGCCAGTTGCTGGGCGGATTGTTGCTCAAACAATTGATCCAATTCTTCGGCTTGACGTGCGGCCCAATTCATCATTTCCTGGGATTCCACAGTAGGTCCGGTTGCAGCCTTGGTACTATTGTTGCCGGCCGTGCGCAACGCGGAGCGATATTGGAATTTTCGACCAACGGATTTCTTCAATTGTTGTTCCAGTTGTTGGGCGTGAGCGGCCAGCTCTTTTTCGGGAGCATGAGTGATCAATTCCACCGTGACGGGCATGTTGAAGGAATTTCCTTGATGAGGAATGGTCCCTTCCACTGAGAGTGCGTGCTCGCCAGCACGGTCCATCCACGGCGCTAAAATGGCGGCTGCATGGAGGAAAACTGTGAGCAAGCCACATGCTGCCTGTTATCATGATGTTCGACACACAACTTAATATTTTCTACGAACCTTGCTGCCGCTTCAAATGGCCAACCTTGTCTCCTGCCATATTATCTACCCGAATGGCATTGGCATCATATGGATTGTCGGGTTCCCGAACGAGGCTCACGTACTCTCCAGCGTGAGCCGTACCTTTGTAGTAGCGGATTCCAACAATGGTGCCCTGAAATGTAGCTACCAAGGCGGATGCATCTTCCTCTTCGAAATCATCTTCCGTGTTCATTGTGGCTTCTTCGGCTGCCTCGTCGATCTTGGCATCTGCTGGTCGCTTGCCAGACAGAGTCTCGCTGGCGTCACCTGGAAGAGTTGACATCTTGCTTGTGTTGGTTTTCTTTTTGTGTTGGTTGTCCGCTCTCTGTTATCTGCCACCTTCGGACTTTTGGAATGAAGTTTTTTGTCATTGGTCACCCCTGCTCGCAAGAGTCCTTCCTCTCCCCGCCTGTTCCTCGAGTGGATGGCTCACTCAAACGATGTTGTGGCGAAAAATGGTACTCAAATTGCTGGAATCTCCTCAGTGAGGAGTGTCAAAGTCAAAAGAGCCATGGTAGTCTGACTGTGAGGTACAGTAGTATGCATACATGGGAGTAATGCTAATGGGTGACAACAACTAACTAATTAAAAACTGACTCCAGAATCTTAACAGATTTTTCCGTGACCTTTCCCTCACGCTTATTATGTGTACAACGTAATTGTCAGGCAGGGCCTATTGTACTCTGTGGTAGGATTCTGAATCCTACTGGGTAGGATTTGGCCCAATTGAGGAATTTGGCCCAATTGAGGAATGCTCTTGGAACAGCTCACAAACTGCCAAATAAAACATAGGCTAGGCTCTATGGTAACTTCTTGGTTGTTTGGCTTGACTTTTTTCATCCCCCATGGGAATCGAATCTATGATGGGTGCTTGGGCTGTTTGTTATGTACTTGAAATGTGGGATTGTGTCTGCAGGGCTCCTTGGTTTTGTTGCAGGACTTGATTAGCTTCTCTGGTGATTGATCATTCTCTGGATCGTTTCAGGATTTTGAATGGCTCCCTGCTGCATATACTGCAATGTCGTGTCCCAATGGTCTTGACAGTGCTGATTGGGTTGCCTTCCCATAAGATGCTAACTTAGATGCTGCTCCCTTGAAGGTTGTGGGAGATGTCTAGCTAGCTAGCTAGAACCATACCAGTGTTCAGGGCATTTCTGGTCAGCCAATGTTCCACGGTACCGGTACGGGTACCGGTAGCTGCCCACCACAAGTGCTGGCTAGCTACTGTACTAGTACCGGTACCGGTACCGGTACCTGGTACCAGGTAGGAATGATGCGATTGAATTCGATTCGATTCGATCCAATCCAATCTTCAAGAGCGTCAAGCGTCGGTCAAATAATATTATGACAATTCTGAATTGGGGATGGGCAAATCTTGCTATAGTGCTGTAGTGTACTCAACAGGAGTTAATCAGAATGTCAGAAAAAGAAGAAAATGAACATTTTAGCGGGAAGCAAGATTCAATTGGATTAGATTGCATTGGATTGGATTGAATTGGATTGAATTGGATTGAATTGGAATCCAACTATACCTGTTATTTGTATAGTAAACTGGAATTCAATGCAATCCAATCCAATTCAATCCAATCCGATCTAATCCAATAGAAAAATTGCAGCCCAAAACAAATATTCGCCTTTTCACAGACACTTTTACAAAAAACGTTATCAAATACAATGCAGGGCTATGGGCAAGTTCGCTCATCCCCATTCTGAACAACTTCTGGTTCTGGATTGAGGCAGGATCCAGAACACTCCAGAACACAGGTCACTGTTTCCTTGAGTTCTCAGTCAAGGGCTTCTTCAACGATGTCTTCGATCCAGTGATCCAGTTCGTACTGAAAGCTACGGCACGGTACGACGATACCCTTCCCTTTTGAAGACTGTATTTTGAGTGGATGATCATACTACAGTATTTTAATACTTCGCGCAAGAATGAGAGGCGGTCGCGCGTTTTTGGCTCATGCTCGCGTCTTTTCACTTTCGAAATGGCGCGAAGTTACCTGCGGTGGCAACAACAAAAAAGGACGAACAGATCGATCGTCAACCACCACCATGACGATGCTCCGGCGGCTGATACTCAACGAAACGACGCTCCTATAATACAAGTAAACGTTCTATAATTCGTCTATATTACCACTACCGATGTAGCAACAAGCGCAAGCTTCAAAGGCGGTGTAGTCGTCGAGGAATGGTTGTTGTTGTAGTAGGAGGATTTCGCTCCGCCGCACGCTCCCGAGGTCGAGGTCAACAAGAGGAAGGAGGTTGAGCGCCGCAGCTTCGGTGTTGCTTAGAGAACACTACTAGTATGTTGTTTCAGCTCTGGTGTCCAAACTCTCTCTGATTGCGGCTACTGTAGTAGAGAGTGTCGAACGACGTCCTCCTCGGCTGTTTGACGCTGTTGCGGCCAGAGGCAATTGCGAGGTCAACCAAAGAGATAAAGTGTCGCGACAAGCTTCCTACATGTGTAGTGCCACCTTATGCCTTCGAATGTTGTGTCTCGCGACACTTTATTGCCTTTGGTGCCGTCACCATGGTGGACTTATTGCGTACACGTTTTATGAGACTCCCGCCTCTCATCCGTACGCACACTGTCTCAAAAATAATACGGTATTATCTCGACTTATAAAGAATAGAACTATGCTAAGGTGATGTCGCAGATTCATCATTCATCTACAGCAACATTCAGAATTGGAACCTTATTAAAATGGGGCGTCTGCGGTTGTTCTGTCAGATTTGACCACACACACGAGAAACAGACAACACACCGCGGGACACTGTGTAATTAATTGCTCACTACTCTTTATCGTGGGCATTCATTCGCAGCAGCCACTCAAGTGCGACAGTGTCCGTAGGGAGCCGACAAACAGAAACTGCGAGAGGAGTCAAAACCAGCTGGTGGTTGGCATTCACGAGGTGAACCTCCCGGGACTCGCTGGAACGAGGTAGACGTAGAATCCCCTTTTAATTTTTAGCTTATTCTTTTGTGTCATCCCATGTCTACATCGTACTGCACATCGGCCTCCGTTCGCAGGTTATGAGCCCAACTCGTTCGTCAC